TTTTTTTTCAACTTTGCTTGCCCTTATCAACATGCACTCATAAAAACGCACGCACGAGCATAAACAAGTACGATTGAAACCCCCTCGAAGGATTTGCTGGATACGCAGCTGTTGCGCAACAATTTACTCGCTAAGTCGCAGGTATTAAAAAATTTTGAATACATGAACAAAGCGGGTATTTATACGGGAATTCACTTATTTTTTTTTTCATCGTGGACCCCCGAGGTCACGTTCAGGTGGCAGTCTTCGCCGTGCTGTTATGCTGTCAATGACACGTGGTGGGCAATCAAGTGGGCCGTCTTTAAAGACAAGAATAACGTGAACTGCCTTTTGCTGCGAAGAAGGTGAAGCCAAGTAGACACCCCATCACATTCCACTCGGACAGCTTTTACAAGCGCCAAGGGTTCGCAATGAAGGCATAGTGCACACCAGTAGCTCATTTTGCACACGTGAGATGGCGCTCCTGCTGAGCAGCTGCGCGCATGCCAGCAATGGCCTCTGCGATTAGCTCCGGCAGTGCGCTGCGGGAGCTGACCGCGGAGGCTACTCTACTAAGCCTACACTCACGCGATCGAAACAGGCTGCGATCATATTGAAACCGCGCAAAAGACGTACGACGAGGAAAAACTTGGGAAAGCGAGCGGTGACTGACAACTCATTGCGTTATTCAAGCGAAATAGGCAAAGGAAGGACAAAAAAATTGCCCGCAGCTTCCCTCGGGGGAACACTGAGGAGGATGCGGACCATATAATTGGTTAACGGGGTGTTAAAGTGCGACTTACTTGGGTCGATGGCTAAATTGGTTAACGTGGTTGTGAAATGGGGTATTAAATTGCGACTTACTTGGGTCGATGGCTAAATTGGTTAACGTGGTTGTGAAATGGGGTGTTAAATTGCGACTTACTTGGGTCGATGGCTAAATTGGTTAACGTGGTTGTAGGAGGGGGTGTTAAATGAGTGAACACGTACACACGTATGCGAAAGGGCGGCGCTGGTCGAAGGGACGTCGATCATTGTGTTTGTGGATTCGTTGGAATTCATTTCACCGCGACCTTGGACGTCGACGCGCCGTACAAACCAACCGACGAGCGGCAACTGAGCGAGCGAGCGCCGACCTTGAGTATATATACAGCACGACGGCGCATGCACTGTCAGCTGTTGAATGTTCTCGAAGCGCGACGCCACATGCGCGTCCACTGGAGAATCAGGAGAATTGTAGATGTCGAACGTGGTGTGTAGAGGAGGAAGGGTGCACAGATGGTGGAGGAGTGAAGCGCGCGCGGTGTGTAGAGGAGGAAGGGATGCACAGATGGTGGAAGAGTGGGCGACGGCGCATGCGCGCGCGTCAGCTGTCGAATGTTCGAGAAGCGGTGCGGACGGCGCGGACGGCGCGGACGGCGCACTACAAGGCGCGAGTATAAGATGCTCCGCATCTAAAAACGAACAAAACATGCGCGCGCCACCTATTCCCATGATAAAAGAATACACTTGTAACATATTGTTGTTTTGAGGCCGCGATAGTCAAGCTAAAGCTATCGAACGAGTGCATTCGGTGCTGGAAAACGCTGGCAGTTTTTTTACCAGACTTACCTCCGGCGCCTTCATGACTCGACATTCCTAGGCGGTATAAATTGCAGGTACTCGGCAAGCTCAAGGCTGCTTGTCACCACAGAAGCGAATATCGCTGATGAAGGATCACGAACTGTAAACTCACCTTGCTGCATTTCTCGCCCCTGAACTCAGTAAATGTTGCCTTTGGTGATAGAAAAGCCGTTGCTGGCTCAGTGCTGACTGAAAGGATGCGACGCTGATGGCGCTTTCGAACAGTGTGACGTCGCTTCTACTCAACCAATGAACCCGTCGCAAATGCCCACTATTGGCCACCAATAATGATGATAATTAGAAGGAAGACGACGAGAAAGACAAAGCGGGCAGCATTCAAAATGTATATTAGAATTAAGGCAACTTTGATATAAGTTCTTGATTTATCATTATTGTTTTATATCGATTGAATAGATGAATAAACTTTATTTAAAGTGAGTTTAGAAGCTGCCTTCCGGCGTGCTGGGCGAACAAGATTTACCACTGTCCCGTCCCACCTTCCATCCATGATGGAAGTGCCTCATATTATGGCTTGAAGTCCTCGGATTCGCACTGCATCTTCGGTTTGCCGGTCAAAGCTGGTCGACTAACTGATCGATCATCGCTAGTGAGTGCCGCCTCCCGTCGGCAGCAATGGTGAAGGAGGCAATCCCCAGCAGCGACAGCAGCCACGGCAGCGGCCGGTCCTAGAGAGGCATACCACTCTAGAACCGGTGGTATACCAATCATCGCCGCTGCGCTGATGATTGACCTCGGCATTGGTATCTGTCGGGTAATTGGTAACTGTGCCGGCACATTCCCAAAGCATGTGCCGATGCATTGCACCTCCCCCGCACGCTTTACACGCGTCCGTCGGCCATAGTCTCGGGTACTGAAAGTGTTTTCTTAAGTCGTACAAATTAATCCATTTCCATTTCTGTGAGAATATCAATATGGCCGTGTGCCTGTCACGCATTATTTCAGCGTCAGCTTAAATATGTCTGTGTAAGATCACTTTTAAACTGTTCCTCTGATTGTATACTTCCGTAGCTGCTGGAGCCGTTTTAGAAGGTCCTCATCATCAGCGTCTCTCATATAGTCATATGGTGGTTTTGGGACGTTAAACCCCACATATCAGGCAAGGTCCTCATCATCATCATCATCATTACACACTATTTTCTTCGAGAACCAATTCTACCGCTCTGTCCATCATCCGCTTATGTGACTGCTGCTCGATTCCGCAGACGTACACTTATGCAAGTCTTTAAAGGTTCAGCACTAACAAACTCTACAGAATATCGCCATTTATTATATCCCTGGCGAAGAGACTTTTGCCGCACTCGAAAACAAGAAGTAGCTATTACAAGGCTGCGTTGCCGGGTACCAAATCTAAATTTCTATAAACACAGGTCTGCTCAGGCACCTTCGCCACTGTGTGCATTCTGTGATGAACTGGAAACAATAGACCATTTCTTTTTGACCTGCAGGCGGTTTAACACATTACGAAAAACCCTATTAGAAATACCTTTGCGTGGCATTGGTATGGACTTATCTCTGCCTGTCATTTTGTCTTTTGAAGCTTCCATTTCTGGTTTCTGTAATGGCACAGTATGCGCGGCCGTCCGGGACTATATTGATGAAACTAATAGGTTGACTAATTAACCAGTTTCATTATCTTAACATGTTCACCTAATTATATACGTATAAAATCAGACTATTGCTCTATTCTAAGAATAAATTTGTTTATGTAAATATTTCTATGCATTACATTAAGCACCACACTTGCCTATAGGCTATCGGTAATCTTTCTGTTATACCTCCATCATTCTAAATCTGAACAGTAAATTTTAAAGCCACTCGATTCTTGGCCAATCCCCCACAGTGGGTATGCGCCACTAACGATAGGAGAACAACAACAACAACAACAAGTAAATTCTATGAAATGTTCAAGGAGTACTAATCTGGACTCCATGAAATTCTGTCATGGTGTCAGATCTTGCCATTGGTCATCAGATTGGCGCAGGGGACTGCCATGGCCTCTGTGATTGGCGTGAATTGCCATCCTTAGGAAATTTCACAATATGTCGGGATCAGACAGCGTTTAAAGCAGCATACTTTGGCGAAAGCAACGGCCTCGGGCACTTAGTGTGGCATGCATAGGCATTTATGTACAAAGATCTCGTCTTGTCTTCTCTGCCGTGCCTCTTGAACATGAAGCAATCTAAGATAATTTATCGGCTGCTGGTGGCTTGCCTCTATCTGTCCGTGGCTTTACGGCAGCGCTCCCAGACACCCTTCCAATTTTTTTTTTGTTGTTGCAAGAAAGAATAAACAGGGAAAAACTCTTTCGGATGCCTGGCAAAACAATTTCCACAAGAAAAAAACAATACCTCAAAGCACCAGTCTGCATAATCGATTTAGATCAAACGCTTTCAAATTTGCTATTCCTAGTTGCACTAATTCTTGGCAGAGTGACGTAAATATATGCGCGAACATTTCAGCTATCATGGCACTGTCAATGAGAGCTACATTATAATAGGGGGATCAATACTGTAGTTTCAACCAGACTTCATAATATCCTAAAAGCAGAGAGTATACACTTTTTGACAGCCAAATATTGTTTTATGTAAGACATTACTATTCGGCAAAGTTAAAGAAAATTTATTTTTATGTCATATCTGTTATTGTTATTATCTCATTCCTAGCAAGTCTTGCACGGCAAGTCTGAACCAACAGTTTTACAATCTACATCTTTAACTACATCAACAAAAACAAGAAAAAGGTAACTCCTGGACGATGTAACCTTCGAGAATGTTGATATGCATTGTGTGCTGTTGCTGTGCGTTGCTTATTAGCCACTTCGCATAACAGAAATTTACCTTTAATGAGCGAAACAGTGCGGGTGGGCGCGACTATAGCGCTCAACATCCCTTTACATTCAATAACAGAAACGGTCATCATAACATACAATGTCGCATTTATTACATTCTTACTTGTACAGACACCATAAAAGAACTGACATATAAATTTTCTGGCAAAGCACAGACGTACATATTTGATTTGGTGATGTAGCTGCACTTCGCTGACTATGTGACCGGTTTGTTGACCTGAAAGCCCAGCACTACATTGGCCAGGTCATTTGATGATTAGGTACATCTGCACGTTCTTACAGACTGGTGGGCTCACATTTTGTTAGTGGCCTTAGCAAGCCTAACTGTTATTTAGGAAAGCATCCAAACACACTCAGCTCTACTCTAGCTAGACAGGCACAGTTTCTTTTACACAGTATTGAGAAAGGCTTTTCACAAGAACTTGACTTGCCACAAGCTACACTGCAGTGCAAACGCCTTTCGAACGCACTGAATTGAAGGCGCTGGCAAGCAAAGTTCAAGTCAAGGAGAGTTTCTGAATACGGCGACTGGGCGCACCATTGAAATTTACTCCAAACATTTCACCCTACATGTGTTCAAGTTGTCAAGGGCACCTTATTTTCATGTTATATTGCAGATTAAAGCATTGCCGAGAAAAGCGAAGTCTGACAAATGTTTTTTTTTTTTATTCTTCGCGTCATTTTTACCGCTGGCTGTACGTGAAAATATAGCGTATTATACGAAATGTATCGCTATATATACCTATCCGACTACTATTTACTCTATTCTTCCTGAATATAGCCCCTGATCTTTGCTTGAGAGTGGGAATATTCGGTTAAAATGTCCAGTGATTCAGAACAGGTCCTGTCATTCATCTAGTAGGAGCATTGACTACAAAAACGAAGCTCTGAAAAGTTTTTAAAATACTCTGCAGCATGTCCTTCAGACAGCCCGTCGCATGCACGCCGCGTCGAATGTCATTGTCATCCTGGTTGAGTATCGTGCATTAAGTAGACACAGCTTGAAATGACTACACTTTTCTCACTATGCCGCCGACATAAGATTGAATATACAGAATTCCTTGCGGCGTTGGTTGAGAACGAAATCAGTGGCTGCGATTGTTCCAGTGGCTTCTCGCATGAAGTATAGTACCGAGTTTCACACATGTAGCAATGCCGTGTATACAATTCAAGCTAAACCACAGGCTTATCAGTTTTGCTTACATGTGTTTGTTCACTTTTCTGACATAAAAGGTCTAGGAAAAAAGTTCGGTTGGAAAGGAAGGAAATAGATCAGCTTTTCGAAACGCATTTTGCTGAAGCCTCTTAACCTTAGAACATTAGAATCCAATATCTTACTGTTACATTTACAATACGATGGAAGTGGGCGTTCTTTTGCAACGAGAAAACCTAATACATTCAGAACAGCTTCAACAAAATAATAGGGTAGACCAGCTGCAAAAATTAAACAATTTCTGTGGTCCTGACAGATGGCTCCCCCAACCTTATGCGGGGAAATCGACATGTTTCCAGATGTGTTGACATGTCAGCAATGGACGTATTCGTTTCTTCCCGACATTTATACTGAGTCGCGTCGTCAGAGTGAAATTTCACGTCGGAATTGTTGCGCACCACGCTGATAAGTGACGCGTGCAGGCATGATAACATACTATTGGCACTGCAAAATCATTCCTTACGAAGATTCCGTGACAACATTGGTGTGGCTTGGCTCGAAAAACAAAATATACTTGGCATTTTTATGATTTGCGACACTCGTTTCTATACATTTCTCAGATTATCGCCCCAGGTAGGCGACATCAAACGCTTTGGTTCCCGAACACGACGTGGCTATGCGTGACAGCCCCCTTGTCTCTCGAATCCTGAGGTCAGCCATTGGAGCACGGAGTACAGTTTTTTGCTCCTCACTGAAGACGAACGCTCGTCGGTGTTGAAGACACGTACATCTTTGTCCAAGTTGTACTTCATGCTGAAATATTAAAAAAAAAAGTTCAGGTTAATGGGGTTGCACCTAACGCGTGAAAACTTTCAAAAGTGTCATTCGGCCTGTTCGCGAAGCTATCGTTACTATAAATATTTGTTCTGCCTGGGCAGTCTGCCATGAGCACACACGTATGTAAAATGTTCTGACTGCCAAATTCACAGGGTTCGTTGTGCATTCGCTTAAAACGACTCTAGTGTGAAAGCAGGAGAGTAGCCAAGGGGGGGGGGAGAGGAAGTCTACTTTCTGTCCCGGAGTGGTTTTTTAATTTTGCTTGATTTTAATGTACACATACCAATAACACATACCAAGCACGAATATGTGAAGCCTCCCCGCCGAAAAATGTTCTCGCTACGCCCCTGTCAAGGTTTTTGCGCAGTCGATATGTTTAATGCATCCTGATGCGTGTGCACCCCCGTAGGCCTGCCTACACGCTTCCCATCCTTCCCAGCTGTCTGTAGTGTTATCTGCAAGATAAAGCCAATCCCTAATGTAAAGATACTGTCTTACATCGTTTCGCCGTCCTTCTCGAATGGTTCGCTGTCTCGGCCAAACACGAAGTATCGGGCTCCCTTGATGAGGTCAGCCGTGGAGCACAGTTCCCTCGCCACGAACAGCTTCGTGCCAGTCATGGCGGAATTGCTGGGCTCCAAACCTGCGAGGTTAAAATGGGCGAAGCAATGCTTCATTCGCGTGCCACCTTGAGACCTTTGCCCCCATTCCTGGAAGAAAAACACGAACACTGACACTTTCTCACGCACGAACATAGTTTCATCCCTAGTTTTTGTGCAGTTGTGAAGCTCCCCGTAGGCCTAATGTTTCAAAAATTGGCGTCCTCAATGGCCGAAATTGTGGGAGTCAGCTGGTTGTGGCGTCATCTGTTGAGCTCAAAACAAACTAATCAATGCTTAGTCTATTAATGCCAGCATTCCGTGTTGCGTTGGGCAGCTTGTTGAAAACTCACTGCAGATGGCGCTGCAAAAACTGAGTAATTAAGTGTTTTGTATTGCTTCTCCTAGATGACGCGACAGTCTTCAGGCTCCCGCAGAATCGGCTATTCACATGCTCGGGTTTCGAAAAGTAGTTTTGGAACTAGTAGGATTTAAGTACTCTGGATGCATCGGCAATGGAACGGTCAGCCAGAACGATTTCCCTTCACACTGGTTCTTGTCTCAAGCTGCGCTACCTCCACGATTACAATCGTTGACATTACGCGCTACAGAGATGTCATACCTCAAGAGTTCGCTGTTATAAGCAGTTATATCAGATTTAACTATAAATATGTGCGAAGTTATATCCTAATTGACTCAATATTGTACTATAGCAATTGGCACGACATGCTCTCTAGCACGCTCTCAAAGCAATTTTCGTATAGGACTTTCTGAAACCTGGCTCTTGGCATTATCTCTTGAAATGCGATGCCAGAATGATCAATAGGTATATTTTTGATAAATTATCGACCAACCAACGATGTGTGGATTGAGTGAACACAATACTACCACAGTAACCCAAGCTGTTTGTGCACTTTGAATATTTCACATTTACCCCACCCTCTCCGTATGAGCAAGTATCGGCTTTTTCGAAACAGCTTCGTCTGTTTCCTTTTGCCTCATCTCTGTAGCATGAACATTCTTGTATATGTACACATATTACAATAAACAGTACCCTACAAATGATGATATACGAAATCATCAAGAGGCTGAGCCACCTCTGCATAGCAGCTGTTGCCGACAGATGCTGTATCCCGGGCTACACAGGCTGGTGATGTCCCTCATGTCAGCTTCCTTTGGCCTTGTAGCAAAAGTTCCCAAAATTCCTTAACTACGTTTTAACAGCGATACTAACGTTAACAAGGCCACCTCACTTAGGACAAGTTGTATATTAAGTAAAGCATGCTCACAGAATTTCTCTCGTCGTAGAATGCTACTGTTGCAAACTATAAAAAGTGCTGTTCAGTACCTTCCTTGATCACCGTGTCCACCCTGAAGGTGATGTGCCTGTAGCCGTTGATGACAATGTTGGAGAACACTACGCCAATCCAAGCTGCGAAAAATGAACAAAAAATGCTACAGTCATATGTAATGAAAGATCCAGTACATAGAAAAAACAAAGTAAGGTGTCTTTCCCCCCCCACCCCCCTCCTGTTGGCCGTGAAGAACCACGCTAGGTTCAGAAGAAAACTTGTCAGGATCAGTAAATTAACTTAAGAGAGAGGTGGCTTTCGCCTTCTAATCTTAAGTGAGTGCCCAAGAGACCGAGTGTTTCTTTCTCTTTTTAATATTTTCTTCCCTATATTGTAGAATGTTAATCCTATTCCCAATACTTACACAAAACAGAATGTCGGCGATTATATGCACACCAGCAGAAACCTGTTTTCCCGATAAAGATTACGCCGTACACCTGTCGCCCCCTTTTAACATTTCACATTTTACAAAGGGAAGCAAAGCATTACCGAAATCGTGTTGTTGGCAGACGAGCTCCCGCAACTTGTCGCGTTTCTTCAATGTCGTGCCGGCCCTTTCGACGTCTAAGAACGGCTCCTTCCTCGGGCATTGGGCTGAGAAGTAATGCAAGTGACGATTACTTCATTGACATGAATGATGTACGCATAGTGAAACCCTGCTCACACAAGAAAAGTAAAATGGGAAGTTTTGCTCCACACCAGAAAGGGTAAAGAGCTAATTACGATACTTTATTCTTCGCAAAGGCAGCTAGATTAACCAGGCTGAACACTATATTATAAGCAAAGGCTGGTAAATTGAGCAATCTGTACGCACTTACGCGCATAATTTGCGCACTCTTAATATTTAGCCAGCTTCCCGGAATGAAAAAAAAAAAAAAAACATTTACTCGCTTATTTCACGCTTCCCGAGCCAGCTCGAGTCAGCTCGCCGGCACGCGTGCCTTTGGACCTTTCGATGCTTCGCGCCTCTTGAAGCAGACGAGCGCAGTCAAACAGGCTGCGAGTGCGAAGTCCCCTCTTCCGAGGGCTTCCCCAAACTAAGGTCCCTAGAATACCGCACCCGAACACACACCTGTTGACGAGTCGCAGGAACTTGCTCGAGCGTTTGCCACCCCCTATCTCCCAACCTCTGCCACCGCGATAATGGCAAGAATGCACGCTGGCGCCACGGCACGGACGACCTTCTGCATCGGAGGCTTGCGAGGGCCTATATCGTGCCAACTGTTCTCCTCGTTCTCTGCGTCCGGGCTGCAACTCGCGCTTGGCCGATTTCGGAAATTTAGGTTTCGCCATCCAGCCGACGCGTTTTGACGGTTCCCTTACGATCTGCTACAGTCATTATATATACGGCGAAATTGAAGCTCGCTGCTGTGAATTTCGGCGAAGAAAACGAGAAACGTGCCGCGGCAAAGCACTTTAAGGGGACGTACTTGAACGTGACGACCGGCGCGATCGGCACGCGAGAAAGCAGAAGATTGCGCGCTTGCTAATGTAAGTTTCCTGAAATTGAAGGAGGCCTTTTTCAATTATGTGCAGACGCTTAGTTCTTTCAGTATCGCCGTGTCGCGGGACCAAGCTTCTGGAAGCACTGTCGAAAGAGCTTCAAGGAAATCGGGCGTTTGAACGAGCTCGACGGAACCCAAGATGATGCGCTTCGGGATGGCGGTGGCAGTGGCCGCGACGATGATTCCCAATCGGACTTCGCGATCAGCGATTCCCGCTAGACCGCGCGTGACCGGATCTGACTGGTTAATGTACGCGCTAATTCTTTCAAAGTTAACAAGTACACTTCGTTTGTGCTCCAATTTATTTATTCTTGCTTTTTAATGTATACACTGCGCGCGTTAAGACTGTGACAAAACATTTCGAACGCCCCCGCAAAGTCCCCGCGCAATTTACGCACGCCCTTCTCGGGCCCCAAAATTATTTTTAAAGAAGTGCGCAAATTATGCGACGAAATATAGTACACTTCCGTAGATAACGATTGCGATGTCACGACGAGTTGTATGGTATAGTCAACACACACACACACACAAACTTACGTGAGTGAAATTCGTGTTCTTCAAATACGAAATACACGTGCAGCATTTCTTTCATCAATGGTTTTCAAGGCAAAAAAAAATTGAGCAGCTTTCACTAAGTAGCGCATGGCTAGGTCGCAACAGAGATGCTAGGCGGCTAGCTTGTCCAGGCTTGGCTATAGGTCTGTCCCCTCTTACCTGTCTGTTTCCTACCACTGTATTGATACTATGATGTGTTATGCTATGTTATGCTACTATACATGTTACGTTGCTATACTATAGATGACTATGCCCCCTTTCCTACTTGTAGTTTGACGTCCACGATATCAATATGAGAGATCCCGTAACGGAGGGCTCCCAAAATTTCGACCACCAGGGGGTCTAGGTACATGAACCTCAACCATTTTAATCTCCATCTATGCTAGCTTTCTCCTATAGGGCCTATGCGCCATATAAATTGGGCAAATGCCATTTCTCAATACACCCGTACACTCAAGAGTGACAAGGAAGCACACGGGCGGTAAACACTTTAGGGGCCCCATGGTTCCGCTTCGCTTGTTAACCATCTGTACCGATTGCTAGGGCAGTGGTTTAGCACGTGCAAGTTTGCGATGATAAATTTTTATCTACGCCACGCGGCACTCACCAATTCTTACAAACAAATGCCCCGCCGCGGTGGTCTAGTGGCTAAAGTACTCGGCTGCTGACCCGCATGTCTCGGGATCGAATTCCGGCTGCGGCGGCTACATTTTCGATGAAGGCGAGAATACTACAGGGCCCGTGTGTTAGGTGCACATTAAAGGTGCGCATTAAAGAACGCCAGGTGGTTGAAATTTATGGAGCCCTCCACTACGGCGTCTCTCCTAATCATATGGTGGTTTTGGAACGTTAAACCCCACATTATCTATCTGTCTATCCGTTTATCTGTCTACGTATCTATTCCTAACAAATATGCTTTAAAAACAGGATACACTTTCAAAACTAACGTTTCAGAAGAGATAGACGTCTATAAACGTCAAGATCATGATGACTTGTATAGTTATATTTGTTGGGACTTTGCGTTCCGAAACCACGGTATAATTATGAGAGACACTGTACTTGAGGGCTATGGATATTATAATTAGTATAGATAAGTAGTCGAAGTTCTATTTAGCTTTTTTGTGACCTACATTATCACATGAACCACAGATCACGAGGTTTAACCGGCGAGTACGGAAGACGTATTCACTTTAATCAAATTTGCACCGATACACCGGTATTTGGGTGTTCATTTCTAGAGTGCGGGCGGAGTAAAGCTCAAATTCCAGTTATTTTGCTTGAGTTCTGGGTAACCTGGTGTGCGCAAATGCAGACGAACGACAACAGAAAATAATAGACAGGAACAAACGCTTGTCTCTGTCTATTCTTTTCTGTGGTCGTTCGTCTGCGTTTGCGCACACCAGGTTACCCAGAATTATGAACCAACTCGCTCAGCCACAAGTTTGTTTAAGTTATTGGTTCGAAAATATAGCTTAACTCGAAACACTAACAGCTACTTGCGCATAGATATTTGGACTACAAACTACAGATGTTCGCCACTGTCTGAAAAAAATTTTTCCCTTAATGTGTACAAGTACAGAAATTTGACTGTTATTAAAGCTCGGACCACCAGGTTCTATTAATAAGTGCCCGCCTCGGTTGAACAGTGGCTACGGTGCTTTGCCGCTCTGCCAAAGTCACGTGCTTGATCTAGGCCACGGTGGCCGTGTTTCCATGGAGGCTAAATGATTGATTGGTTGATTTGATTATTTCATTGATATGTGGGGTTTAACGTCCCAAAACCACCATATGATTATGAGAGACGCCGTAGTGGAGGGCCCCGGAAATCGAGGCTAAATAGTAGAGGCCCGTGAACTGTTGGATGTCGGCGCAGGTTAAGGAACACCAGATGGTCGAAATTACCGGAGCCCTCCAATACGGCGTCTCTCACAATCACATGGTGGTCTGGGACATAAAACCCCCGATGTTAGTCTTCTGGCTCGGAGGCACGCAAACCGACTCCCCCGAATCTGCAGGTGTTTGTGTTGTCTGTGCTGTAATGCGTGCACGGCTCATCCAGCGCGCACTGGAGGCTGCCGTATCCCAAGGGAACCCCACCGACCTCCGCTGAAATAGCGCAACCAGTCTCTGTACTGGTCCCTTCGAATATTTAATTATTTTTTGGAGAAATAAACATATTACCACCACCACCACCACCCACATGCTAGCCGTAGTAGTAGCAAGATTGATTGATTGATTGATTGATTGATTGATTGATTGATTGATTGATTGATTGATTGATTGATTGATTGATATGTGGAGTTTAACGTCCCAAAACCACCGCATGATTATGAGAGACGCCGTAATGGAGGGCTACGAAAATTTGGACAACCTGGGGTTCTTTAACGTGCCCCCAAATCTGAGCACACGGGCCTACAACATTTCCGCCTCCATCAGAAATGCAGTAGTTGTAGTAGCAGCGGTAGTAATAGAAGAAAATGTGAAAGGGGCATGCATAGGGAAATTCAAATCGCCTTTGAACGGGTCGCTTGATGGGTTGCCAAGAAACATATTCGCAGCACTTGTTTCTATGGTTATGCAACTATCCGGATCGTTAGAGAGATGCTTTCTTGCTAGATATGCTAAACAAATAGCTCTCGCTGCTAAAATGGGGTCACGAGTCAACTGCTTATACCTAGGTTACTCGATAAATCCCAGTGTTTAATAACTTTTTTCTCTTTCTCGCGACATCGACGACAAAAAACAGCGATCAAAAGCTTCAAAGCTTGCCTACACGCAACAATATTTGACAAAGATGTGCCCTGAAAACTCACGGATTACCCAATATCCTGAAGCAACAAATAGCAGTACCACGGCGAACCAACATAACCACATCGTGAAACAATTCTAAACTGACGAAGACTTATCTATACGTGAATATAGAGAAAAAAGCCATAAACACTTAGCAACCTTCAACCGATTAGTATTGACAAAATTGATCGTAAAAACATCAAGGCAATTTAGAGTACTGCTTGCGTAAGAAACAGCTATGTAAATTGACGTCAAACACAAGCGATTGAAGAAAGGTGAAGGATGCTATTACCGTAAACGAAAAAAAAAGGTAAGGGGATAGGATAGAGCGCCAACTTGCAAATGATTATTTGAAGAAAAAAAAAATCGCAGCATATCCACGGAGTGAATGACGATTAGGGGGGCGAAGCGTACATCCGTCCGTCCATGCGCCCGTCCAACCGTCCGTCCATTCGTCCGTGCGTCCATGCGTCTGTCTGTCCATGCGTCTGTCCATGCATCCATTCGTACCTGCGTTCATTCGTGCGTCCCTCCGTTCGTCAATGCGTTCATGCGTCCGTCTGTCCATCCGTCTATGAGTCTGTCTGTCCGTTCGTCCGTCCGTCCACTTGTCCATCAAGTGAACACTCCAAGTGCCACGATCTCGCACCATTTCATCCGTCCATCCGTCCATCTAGTGAACACTCGAAGTACCTCCATCTCGCATCTTTTCATCGTATATTCATGATATACATGTACCGCCACCCACCAGACATTCCAAGGACTAAACGAGATGGCTACCTACAACTACTACTACTACTACTACTACTACTACTACTGCTACTTACACACATCTAGAACGCACGACGCATGCATGCATAAGCATGCAAACGTGCGCAGCTACAGTTGCATGGACACTGGCGATCAACCCACGCTTATGAAATGACGATAGCAAGGACGCCTGAGGATATAAGACCACAGGTCGTGCCATATATGAAAAAGTATCTCACAGTTTAGTGAAGCGAACAGGTACAAGGTACCTATTGTGCTTTCAGCCCCATGAGAGCTGGCCGGCCTGTGTCCACGCATCGCAGCACCACAAAACCTGACTTTTTGTGGTAAAAGCGTCGAAGGCCGTTTCTACCTTTTGCGGAGGGCGTGGTCTAAAAAAAATTCACTTACATGCGACAAAGTTTATTATCAGCCAGACTGGACGCTGTGTTAATGACAGGGCAAGGGGAACATGAGCTTTCGATTAAAGATAAGATCAGTGTTCTTGTACCTATGCACTGCGAATCCTGCATGTGTGGGCTGGACCTTGCCGAATTTTCGCATACTTGGAAGAAGCAAGAACCCTGTGGCACGTGAATCCTTGGAGGCACGTGTGCATCAGTGACACGTCTGTGGCCCTGCCTAAAGCGGAACCCTTTTGATAATCCCACCAGTGTGTGTCTGGTGTGTTCTAGTGTAATCTGGTGGATACACCAGAACACACTGTTGTGTCGTGATGTAAACACCAGCCCTGGTGTGCTGTGTTCTAGTGGGAACATTGACCCACTCTGGTATGTTCTGGAGGGACGTGTTCTGGTGGGATGTGTCCTGGTGTGAAAGCTGACCCAGTGTGGTGTGTCCTGGTGGGAACGCCGACCCAGACTGGTGTTTTCTGGTGGGACAAGTTCTAGTGGGATGTGTTCTGGTGGAAAAACCACACTGGTGTGGTGTGTTCTGGTTGGATGTATTCTGATGGACTCAAGAAATGTATTTTTTTCTAGGGGCTTGGACTAAGAATTTTATTCAACCGAGTGCACTCGAACTCACACTCCTTAAATATTTTCCTTAACCAGACTCACTTGTACTAAAACTCACCAAAATATATATTACTCAGCCAGTCGCTCTCAGACTCGTGGTAAGCGCAATTTTTTTTATTTTTCGCTATGGTGATGTCATAAGCGTAGGATTGATCGCCAATTTCCGGCGCAACTTTAACAGCGGACATGTCTGCCTGCTTATAAAAAGAAGCTGTTTTTTTTAATTAGGCCAGTTGCAAATTGACGCTCTATCCTATTTTTTTCGTATACGCGGGTTGCCTCAGACACCCTTCTTCAGAATGAACCAACTAGCCAAACATGTTCTAGTAAACAAGCGATTGAATGGGAAGAGGAGTGGGGACCAATATTACGAGGTCATGTATACCATAGGACCTAGTTTGTACGTTTTTAAGTAAGATCTCAATAACTCGAACGTCACTGGACCAGAAATAATGTTCGATTTAACCAAGAGCCGAATTATGGAAAGTATTAAAAAACAATAAACGAATGACTGATACAATACAGTTTTTTTTGTGTGAATACGTTATTTATGTACCTATGCGATAGCAACATATTCTATTGTTGTACTAAGCAAGGCTCGCATTTTTAGGAGCAATATTAATTGTAGTAAACATGCGCTTGCTAAGTAACCAAGCTTCCTGCGGCGCGGACACAGTAGATGACCACAACAAGGCTGATGCGTAGTGACGGCGTTCATGAGAAGCGCCTCTCGTGGGCAGCGCATGCTGGTGCTAAGGGCTATACGTCATGTGTCGCCTCTGGTGGTAGTTTGTTATGTTTAAAGCACGTCTACACGTGGACGGCCGCTCCAGGTACACTTTTGGCACCATTGTTTTTGGAGTTAAAAGCGCAGCCCGTAAAAACTTCCAACTGCTGTCGGGGCGAGAGCCGCGCACTGATTGTTGCCGCGATAGCACGACAACTATAAGCGCCCCCCCCCCACCAGCCTCTTTAGTGCGCTCTGAAGATAAGCGCGTGCGCTGACGACCCCGGCGGGAAAAGCGATTTTCACTCCGCAGAAATCCTTCCTCCTATGACGGCAGCACACGCGACGGCGCAAACAAGCCGAGTCTGTACATAATTGCTATCGCAATAAAAAAAAAAGACCCCTCACCTGCGGCGCACTCGCACTGGTTTCCTTCACAGACGAGCTTGAGCAGGGGGCTTGTCGAACCAGGACCGTAGAATTGTGTGCAGGAATGCACTGCGAAAATTACGAGGACATTCGCGTCAAACTTCACGCCAATAAAGTTCACGCAATCATGAAATAAATATCTACAACATTCATGGCCAACATAAGCAGCGTTTTAAACTTCATTTTTTAAATGATACTGCAGTGCAAGCTATCGGACAGCCATAACGGAAAAGGCTTGAGATGTAGCGCCTGTACCATAAAAAACAATGAGCTTGGCAGAAAATAAACGTCAACAAATGATGCAAAGTATATTACTTCGAAAAGCAGGATGAAGCTTCATTTGACACATATTTTTGTGATTTTGAAATTCAGCTTTGGCTTCGGTTTCGGACGAAAACTGTGAAGTGGTGGTATGGTGAAAATGCGAGGAAAACGTTAGGTGGAGTTGCCGTAGTTAAATTTTTTACATAACTAGAGCGCAGACTTCTTTTTCCTGTGTGTGGGTGTACGTGAGTGCCCGCACGTGCGTCCTTGAGTGGTTACTTTTGGCTGAACGAATCCCTGTACCGCAACCCGAACTTACGTAATTACGAAGTTTAATTACATATAATTACTATTTTAATCACAACAAATGAATGATTATGATGGCATCTGTAACGCCAGTAAATCTTTCACTAATTTAATTCCCCAATCCCAAGTATAACTCATGGCTTGCTTTTATTTGAAGATTCCGTTTTATGCTTTCCGATGTTTTCTCTGTGAATTACAGGTGTAACATCTTTAAAGCAAAGTATCAATAAACCTTAAAGAGCATTCCAATTTATATACACTTTCCCTCAAATAAATATTTCAGCCGCTGAAACATTTCCAATAAATATTTCATACTTTGTCTTGGTTGCTCTGTTTTCAATAACGCAATATGAATCATTAAAACATTTCTGAAGCACCACATTCCCATTACTGCAGTAATGCTTACAGTTGCAGTGGAGTAATGCTTACAGTTGGAGTGGAGAGTGGAGTAATGCTTACAGTTGGAGTAATGCTCAAGTGTGGAGAATTTTAGGGGCTGGGTTGTCATGTATTGTCGTATGCTGCGATAGGATGCCGCCTTTGTCACTTGGCCGTACGCAAGCAAAATCGCACACACAGCATAGCCATCTGTAACTTATTGAGCACGCACCACTATGACTCTCGTATTTTGTCGGAATGCCGTATGCTGTCATCACTTGACATAATCCAAACAACAACAAAAACACGAATAAAAATTGAAAAAGACAGAGCAAACGAGAAATACAGAGCAAGAGCGCGTGAAAAAATAAATAAAGATAGACAAATTAAGAATAAAGAGAAAAAAATGCAGAGAAAACCGGAAAGCAGAAAAAGAATGAAGGAAGGCAGAGAGAGAATGGCGAAGAGTAACAAAAAAGGCCGTCCAGCTGCGGAATTCCTTCTGGCGCACCACCGCTAGTGCAAACATGCCCCAATTTTCGCTTGCACGTGTTTCCGCCAGTAATTATTTATTTTACGTGTGCAAAATGCTTGAACGCACTAAACGCTTCCAATAACGCGATCAGAAATGACACGCGCGATTATTGAAACCGCGCAGTACTCACTCGGGTTGTAGTAATCGTAGACTTTAACAACTGCAGACTGAACGTTGTAGACGACGTGCTGTCGTTGTATTCTGAACATGACGCACGTCGGTGATTCCCACGGTATCTGTGGGGCGACGAGGCAAAACACACACACAAAAAGAAGTGGCCTTCCCGAAAAGTGCGCCTCTTCCGAGAGTATCCTCATAGTAAAGCAGTGCTGTCAACTTACCTTATCAAAATATAGTATGACGTTTTTCTCTGTCATCTCGTACTTCGCCAACAGATCGCTATCATTTGTTGCCTGCGGTGAAAAAAAAATATTTGAATAAAAGTGGAGCAAGAATTACTGACCTGACTTGCAAGCATACGTTGTGCTGCCATTATATTCGACTTTAAACATTCTACTTAATTGATACTATACTATACAATACTATTCTATTCTATTCCATTCAGCTAATTCGTTACATTTTCCTATTCTGGTAATTCATTCTTTCGATCCATCTATCCTACCCATCCATTCCATGAGACATTTCCTTACAGGTCTTCTATCAGGCATCCGGTAAGGTGATGTCACAATAAATAAATAAAGAGAAACTAGTACTAACATAGGCAACATAAAGTAAATATAGTCGTGCACAAGAAAGAAAGATTGAAATAAATAAATAAATACACAGAAATCGCCAGTGGAAATACTAAACAGAAAAGGTAAAAATATACTAAGAAAACACTGAAGAAAATTACCTCCTCCTATGGTGGCTTGACTAAAATCCAAAAATACAGGAGTAAGAAACGGGTCAATAAGGGTCCCAAATAAATATATCAGAGGGGCAGGGAAAACGCGGACGCATACAAAACTGCCGTTAAAAAGGAAAATGGAAAACAATCACGACGTTTCATATCTCAATGCCGAGCAATTATATGGGCAGATTAAACACTGTGCGATAATATACGTCGAGCTTATCACTGCTACATGAACGTTCAACTGAGATGAAACAAAAATGTATCGCGAATGATCTTGTATTAGCATGCTGCTGTTAGCTCTAATTACAACAAAAGAAAAAGCCAGCTCACCTTTTCCAAATCGTCCTTAATTGGCTCAAATCCGCTGAAAAGCCCCACCTCAATCACTGCCATGTTGGAATCCTCTGTACCGATATAGCTGAAGGAAAACAAAAGTGGATTCAGTTAATGTTGACCAGTACACTGACATATTCGCAATGGAGTATTTCAATCGACCCTTACGGCGTATTACATCGCCTAAACGAATACTTTAGTGAAACAATAACTTCGTTTGGACTGATAAAATGTACTCATATAACTCTAATGTCAAGTGTTTTACTATCATAGGTTCATTATAAGTGGAGAAAATTTAAGGTTGAAGTTTCGAATTTAGCGCTAAATCTCTGCGTGTGACGTCACTATTTTGAAAATTTGTTCCTTTCGTACTTTCGCGACATGGGCCTGATGAAACTTTTTTTTTGCTAACTTTTAGAATCGCGCTTTGGGGAGCCCACGTAGCACCACGCCAGCTTTAGCCAGCTGGCTGCGAAGTAAAAGAAGCAACCCGCGTGGCTCGTGGTGTGCGAGTCACGCACATGACAGAACGCGCCAGCACCCGACCTGGCTGGACGCCACCGACGCGAACGCTTCTACGCCCGCGTCCGAATAAACGCTATGACCATGGCTATGTCCGAGGACTTACATGCTTAGTGAATAAGCCCTCGGGCAATGCACTGCCTTGTTACCGATTGGAAACTACGTAAGACCCAGTAGACGCCGTCAAAAGCTATGACGTCACGATGTTTGGTGCGGGAACTTCAAGCTGGCGTCTCCACCCACATTTTCTTTTCGCGCGTTTTCTCGGAAGCATCGTGTCGCGAAAGAGCGGTGTTTTGGGGATGGTGAAATCACACTCTAAAAAAATCTTTTTTTTTTTTTAGTGTCACTTTAAGGTGTAAGTGAGCACACGATTTCTGTTGACGTCATCCTTCTACCCTGAGCACAACTAGAAAGCTTGTATTCGTCATCTTAATTAGCTGAAGCCCCGCCGCGGTGGTCTAGTGGCTAAGGTACTTGGCTGCTGACCCGCAGGTCGCGGGATCGAATTCCGGCTGCGGCGGCTGCATTTCCGATGGAGGCGGAAATGTAGGCCCGTGTGCTCAGATTTGGGTGCACGTTAAAGAACTCCAGGTGGTCGAATTTTCCGGAGCCCTCCACTACGGCGTCTCTCATAATGATATGGTGGTTTTGGGACGTTAAACGCCACATATCTATCTATCTTAATTAGATGAAAAAACGCGATAGCGTATTAAGGATCATGCCCATCACCTTCTGAATTGCTAGCCCAGCTTCGGTACACGCCTCAACTGTGCCCTAAGGAAACGAAAGACTTTGCGTGTTACGTTAACCGTTACAAAATACCCCAGAATGCCCACTGCAAGCATATTTCTCAAGTGGCCACCACACAGTAAATCTTCGTTTGGCGAATCAGCGAAGAGCCCTCTAAGCGTCATTAAGGAAACGCGTGAAACTACGTCATTGTTCACATCGTTTATGGTTCAGCTGTTGATAAGGTTTGTAATGGGTGGGCCTTCAAAACATGCATATATTGCCATTCACAAGTTTTGATACGTTGCGTGATTCTACACTTCTGCCACGCAATTAGATACATGTGATAAGGAAACTCCATACACGGCATTCAAATCTTTTTTTTTATCCGAAACAGACGCGAGAAAGCATGTGCTTCATGTGTAAACTGAAACCATTGAACGCGTATTTATTGATTGTAGTGATACCATACACTTTTGCAACTGTTGCATAGCACCATGAAGTTAGATTTACCTCTAAATCCACATAGGACTGGATTTTTTTTTTCCTTTTGAAGGGTCTGTTCAGCCTTTGAATGTGATCTTTTTACTGGGTCTGAATTCAATATGGCGAAGCATGAGAGCATACAGAGACTGATCTTGAAGTACCATCTGCTCATGAGTGTTTTGTGGAAATTTTTCTCAGTGTATGTGACAAGTATACAACGAATGTGATGAATGTGTGACAATTTTTTTTTATTTGTGAACGCACATGAAGCGAGTATGAGATGTCATTATTAGACTTTTTTGACTTGTAGTCAAGGCGGCAAAAAAGAAAAAAAAAATGCATGGCTTGTGGTAGAACACTTGCTTGCCGCGCAGATGGCCTAGCTTAGATTCTCACTGAAATATTTTTTTTCATTTATTTACGACTTTATTAAAGTTCTTTTTTTTTTACTCACTCTCGAGCATGATGATATCTGAGGTTTAACGTTCGAGAACCACCATATGATTATGAGAGACGCCGTAGTAGAGGGCTCCGGAATTTCCGACCACCTGGGGTTCTTCCACGTGCACTCAAATCCGAGCACACGGGCCTACAGCGTTTTTGCCTCCATCGGAAATGCAGCGGCCGCTGCCGGGATTCGATCCCGCGACCTGCTGTTAAGCAGCCGAGTACCGTAGGCACTAGACCACCGCGACTTTCCACATGTACGACCTGGCTTCGAAGCTCACTCGAAACTTGTCTCGATTTTCCAGTCACGGACAAGATAATTTTTTTTTTGCTCACAACCAGCGACGCAAACGCCGGAATTTAAGCGAAACGAGCTCTTTAACGCGATCGCATTAAAATGATGGCTGCAACCAAGTCACGATTCCTGGATGTTACCTTCGTTTCCTTTAATGGCATGAAATACGACGAAGTTGCTGAATCTTTGTCCGTGGACAAACCTCCGCAAGACGTCGCCACAGAAACTGCTGCGGCAATTATGGGCGTCTGTAGGACAGGGGGGAGGGGATTAAAGGGGAAAGAGAGATGCAGCATCTCCGCCCCCTCCTAGTAAATTGAGTAGCGTGCGTTCTACGCAGTAGCAGTGAACTACACATTTTGATTGGCAAACTCAGGTACCGCACATTCATGCGAAACGGCCTACATGATTGCCAGCCATCTTTGCCTGTTGTACATTATACCGTACAATAATCCTGCCGGTCCTGTCTCAAAAGTGAAAGAAAAGCTATGCTCAATGCTCCCTCCCCCCTCCCCTTTCCTGCGAATGCATAAGACGTTCTGTGGACGTACTTAACTGTAGTATATGTTTCTGATGTTACAGTACTTCGTGAACGGTAATAGACATAAGAACATACTAACACTAAATACATGATAGCTACTGGCCCTTCCATCAGACTGAACACCCTTCTGAATGGTACAAGAAAAGCGTGCAAAGAAAGTTTTCAAAACGAAAATTTTGGTGAAGACATTTTTTTTTTTTTACCAAAGGAAGTAAAACCAAGTTACCGTGAGCAAACTTCGATGTTGTAGGTAAGCTTGCTCTGCGGTGTCGCTTGCACGGAAGCCGCGGTAGTATCGCCGTTTGCTGTTTTTGAATGAAAAGAAAAAAAGTTCTCAATGAGAAAAAAAATCGCAAACGCCAGTTGGCCCATACTTTTCGGACCACTTGAACCAAATTACCTGAGCCAATTTCCCGAGAGCACATCCCTCCAAAAAAAGCTAAGTACACCGGCTTTTCTACTTACCGGAATGACTCCGCTAGTTCCGGACATGGAGGCGCAATATTGCCCAATACACATAATTTCGCAAAAAAAGTTGTGGTTAACTTGTGTTAAAGTTTAAAAGAAAGGGCAGGGATCCCTAGTGGCTAAATTTCTAATGATTTGCTCTTACTAATCGAAAATCCTCCTTTACTGCATGCGATGTAAACCACTCTGAAATAGAACACCAGATCTGCGCTTAAGCATCTGACACAGCTTGGCAGGAATGTTGCAGAGTTTGGCTATCGCTTGTAAGCGTATATATATACACCCAGTAATGCAGTTTGGCGGATGCATGGTTCAGATGGTTGGGTGCTATGAGCGTCCCCATTAAAACGGAATGTGACTGGTGTGCCACCTGGCTCGCAAGAAAGAAAGTTAAAACTTTTTTTTATGTTCGCCTAATGCCTTACCTACTTTGATTGAATCGATCTTATTATAACAAAGCAAAATGTACACAATGTTCCATCTCACCGCCGCTTCAGGCCGAATTACCTCATTTTCCCAGTATTTCTGTCCTTTATCTCTACTTTTCTGCCACCAATAATCTAACCATCTCTCAATTGCTTCTATCGCTGACGAGTTCAGCTTTCCATGTTTGTTCCTGCAATGCAATAATAGTAGCGCCATAACACACAGCTTAGCGAGTAGACACAGCGAAATCGGACTTGCCAGGGCACATTTCTCTTTATTCTTTAGTTGCAGAGGGAAAAGGGGGAAGGGGTGGTCCATTGTGCGACGCACCCAGGAAGCCCTCATTGAAAACGTGCCAAAAAGGGCCCTCACAATCATTGTTTCGATGTGTTCAGCGAGCGTTTTATTCTCGTGGTGTGCCTGGCCGCCGGTATACCGACAATGCTGAGGCGGCCCAGATGTAGGATGCCTGGATGCCCGCTTACATCGAGGCACCCTACCCAGAAGAGCTCCGTCACGCCCTCTGGTCAAGTGTCGAGTGCCTGTAGTAAACCACACCGGAACATTTACCGCAGTTGTAAAACTTGCGTTTTTCATTACTGCTGCACGTACAAGAAAGTGCGTTTACATGCGGAATTAGCTGATGTACCAACCAGGTGTGAAATTAGAAATTTTTTTGTAGCACTTTTTCGAATCGCAACGTTAGCTGACAAATTTTGTTCAACCTACCTGCCCCCTCCCCCCTTCCTCTACTTTTTTCTTCTCTTACCCGGCCTTTGCGGGAGAGTAACTTTCATGACGGCGACCCGTTAGCTGAGGTGAGTTTAAGACACCTGTTACAGGGACACAAGGCTGATGGGGCCGAGTCAATTCTGTTACATATAATAAGATCAACATGAGCACACACTCCTGTGTCGTTATTCAAAGTCAGATGCGCTCCCTCCCCACAGCGCGCTGAATGTAATGAAGTCACGCATCTTTTGTCGTGGAAGCGTCTTTTGCTTTCAAAGAGACAATAATTGACAGTAAGAAGAAAGAAGGGTCCCCCACTGATGCTGTGAAGGCATTGCGTTTCCGGCAAGTGTGCGGTTGATGCGAAAGCGAGTGACTAACATACTCTTACGTTTTCTACGACAGACAAGATTAAGCGAGGTATGGTGAGCCGAACTACATGGAAAGAGTCGCTCAGGCGGAGCAATTGCCGGCCAGGTATGCCAGGCTGACTGCGTGGCAGCGCCCCTGCCGCCACCACCCCCACCTGTTACAGAGCTGAGCAGTAGAGAGAGGTAACATATCTCTATATCACTCGACGCCTGTTCTTAAGTGATGATCTTGCCGGCGTATGTTTAGAGTAGAAAAGTTGACAATTCTCCATTAACCACCACATATTTTCTTCACTCGTCTTTCCTCTCTTCTCCGATGGGGATACCTGTCTGCTGCACACCTATAGATGTCAATATTGATTCGACCTGTGCGCTTCGTCTTGGACATCACAGGGTGCTACTCCAACAACAGAATCAATACAGAGAAATGCAACGAAACGTATGAAGGGGGAAAAAAGCGTTCTGGGGTCAACGTACCACTATTGAACCCTCCAGTCTCTTCTGGGAAGAAGGGGCTCGCCGGTGAATAGTCTCTGCTTCTAGAATCATCTAGAAGAACGAAACGAAATTTTGTCAATAAATACACAATGATGCTGGACGAATCTATAGTAGAAGAAAGCATTCTCAAAACTTTCGGCATTGTTTAGAATACTGCATACGTTATGGTGCAACATTTTTGCAAAAAAGAGAATCTATGAAAGGAAATGGATGTTATTACTGTGCAACGAGGCATATATTTCTGATTCGTTGTTAGCCTGTGTGTTTTTTTATTCAAAAGACTACACTTCGGCACAACACAAGTACACAGTAAAAAGAAAAGCTCGTCACTCGAACAAGTTGACTCGTGCATACAGTTAAACATGGATTGGTGGAATGGCCTTTTTATCCACCCTTGCGAATCTCGAGGGTGACCGGGACAGTGACCACTTGTTCCGATATGAAGAAGGCGTGCTTGCCCTAGGCCCCGGCATGGCCAGAGCAAGTGTGTCCCGTCAAGAGCAGTTACAGGAGCATCACAATAGCGCCGTGTGATTCTGTATGCTGCGCACTAGAATTGCGGCGACTGAGTCGTCACTGCCAGCGTATAAGAGGAACCCCCAACACGAAATCACCGAAGCGCGACCTCCTCTAAGCGAGTAGACCTATGGGGAAGGTCAATTATTCACTCAAAAATGAATTGGAAGTTGTTGCTAACGACTTGTGGATCCGAGCTATTGATCGATCACTTTCTGGCTTACTTTGAGGTATTCTTCACAGCACGCTTCCGCTATGAAGCAGCTGCGGCCAGCACAGTAGCGACTCCAAAGGAGAGTTTTTTCGAATTTGAGAACCCTTTGCCCTTCAGACACACAAAGTTTAAAATTTTCTCTGCATAAACCATGCTCGCACACACACACACAATGACACGCCTGAGAATGCATAGAAGGAGATAGACCTCCTTTCCACCTTCGAAAAACATTTCTTGCTGCGAACCCAACCTTCATATGCAGCAAATGAACTTGTACTTCAACATTCAACCTTCTATCGACTTCCGAGTACATGACAACCACTTTACTTAATTGCCAAATTCGATATGTGCGGCAGAAATGTGTTCAGAGATAAACAACGTAAGTACAAGAACAAGAAAACCGCGTACTAAAATGTCATTTAAGAGGATGGTTCAGCGACAGTTACAGATGCGCATTCCTCTCTGGTGCCTTTACAAGTGCGAGAAGGCTTTTGTGGCTTTCGGCATACGAAACTTCAGCAAATGTTCCTGTAGCTTACACTTTTAATTAAAGCGATCGATGATATCAGTGTTTAAATTTAGCTCGTGAAGATGCTTCCGCAGCGTAATATCCGTCAACTTATGTGAATGTTATGAATGATGTACGAAGTATGGGTTCGGCGGTAAGACAGAGCGAAAGGGAAGACCGTCCGTAACAAGCGCTTATCTGTTACATCTCGCAACATTCTAAAACCATTACTCAGCTATTTCGTGCCAAGCAAAAGGCCGGTGATACGAACCTTACCCTATCTCTTATCATGGGATGCGTGGTCTATAGGGCAGGAAAATCATCACTTGCGCAGTTTATTGTTCCGCTCCCCTATAGAGCGCCACGAGTCCATAACTGAATCCGCAACGCGCATTCTCATACGACACAATCACTAACCTCCTTATATTTCATAACAGCTGCCCCACGGTTCTCAACAAGGACCAGCTACCGCAACAACTCGCATTGTACGTACGTAAAAACCTGAGTGGCAGCGGCTCATGTCGGTACGGAGACGGCGTAGCCGGTTTCTTCCTCCTCCAACCTGCAGCAAACAGCAATAGGACATGTTTGCTGCGGCTTATAAGTTTACACCCAATATTCTCGGAGTATCTCATCCGACTACAAATTAAGACCTGATACAGCTCACGTTGCCTAATCGTGCTTTCGTAAGATCATTATTCAGGCATTCTACAACTCAAGATTACGATGAATGGAATACATAACGACGTGCGATGCGTGGATATACAACCACGCACGAAACAACATTCTATGTATTTGCCCTCAGTATCAATCATATGTGTTGCAGGTAAAATGAGTGTATAAGGCCAGTAGGGTAAGTGGTCTGAGTGAACAAGTAACCGATGAGGTAGGACAGTGAGTTAAAACAGACAGCAAGGTAGGTGATTGAGTAAGTTAAATTTATCCAGTGACGTAGGCGAGTAACTGAGCAGCGAAAACGTAGGCCAGTGAGTAAGTAGCTAAAACGTGGGTGATTAAGTGAGTCAGTAGCCAAAAAAAAAGTGATCGAATGAGTTCTCAAAAGATAGATCAATGAATGAGTGCGCAGCGAAAAGGGAGACGATTGAGTGAGTGTGTAAGTAGGCAAAAGGCCGGCAAGTGTGTAAGTAGGCAAATGGTAGGCGACTGAGTGAGCGAGTAGCCAATAGGTTAGCGACTCAGTGAGTAGCCAAAAGGTAGGTCATTGAGTGAGTGGGTAACCAAAAAGTAATTGACAAAGTGAGCTGCCATAAGGTAGGCAGTGAGTGAGTGAATGAGTGAGTGAGTGAGTGAGTGAGGAAAAACGGAACGACGAACTAATAGGTACTGATTCGTACTTATGAAGCATTTGTCGCAGTCATTTTAGCGCTTGTATTTTATAAGTATGTGCAAGCGAAGGTGCTTTGGCAAAAAAAGGGTTTTACTTACTTTGGAACCAAGATGCTATCGAGCGTCGCCCTGGAATCGGAAAGAAAAGCGTGTATACAAATTCTATACGTTTCAGAAAAGTACGCGACGCAAAGAGCTGCGAGAACTCACTCCTGAAGTCTCCGAGCAGGTCTTTGAGCAGATCGGGTGGCAACTCGTACGACTTAGCGTTGTTCTCCCTCGTGTTGCGGATGTCGGCACGCACGGTTATGTTAAACTGAAAGAAACGAGAAATCGAAAAATATATTTGCCATTACAAGTCACGTGTTTCGGCACACGGGCACTCTGAAGTGCTTCAGGCAATGGGACGTCATGGCCAACGCTGTGGATATCGAAAGGACCGGAGAAGAGTGGGAATTGTTTATTTCAATTAGTCACACGCCCTCGGCTTGTAGCACTGCCACGATTGGCGTTGTTCATCACGGCGGGATCCTGAACTCCGTGAGAGTGCTTGCTTGAAATTTTCGAAAATTAACAAAGGTGTTTTGGCGACCTTTCTGAGTAACAATACAAGTGCCATCAGGTAGTATACCAGAGATTATTGGTCAGCTGCCAGCTTATAATAACATTACGTATTATGTGACGCAAAACAGGCAGAATAGGTGTTCCACACTCGTCGCCATGGCTACTGGCGGCGTTGACTGATGCTCCCACGTTTAATGCACGTGTATACCCCGTAAAGTGGACAGGGGGATACCCACCGTGGTAGCTCAGTTGGCAGAGCATCGGAAGCATTATTGGAAGGCCACAGGTTCGGCCCCTGCCCAATGCAAGGTATCTCTTCATCCACTTTTATTTCTATACGTTTACAATACATTTTCTTCTGATAACATTTCATATACTATCTTTGACACGATTGTCTGTTAGATCTCAATAATATCATGCGTCAGAGCATTGCTTATCGCACACATAGTAAGCAGCTCACCTTGCACAGGAGCTCAGGTGGTACGAGCACGTTGTATTTCAGTTTGACGGACAGCAGGCCGCTACCGGTGCCGCTGGCTTTCACGAACATTTTCCCCTTGACGTCACGAATCTACGTCACGATCAAGAGAGGGTCGATTAATATAGAAGCTACTTAGCACGAGTTTACAGTTCTCGCGTTATTTGAAATGTGCGGCTAATGCTTCGTTTTCAAAGTTGGTTCGTTACTCGGCAGAAATCAATCACATACTAACAAGAGCACGGAACTAGCACAAAAAGTGCTTTATGTTTTGATTTACTTTTACTCTAATGAGGTGAACCCATTTTATGTTACCAGATAGTGTTATCTAATCGTATGCAGTAGAGGGTATATAAAAAGAACAGACTGAAATATATCTCAGAGGGGGACACGCCTTCCATCATTTTGGAGCGGCCATTGGAGCAGGCAAAATCTGCTTTTGGAGCAGCTACCTCCGTGTTGGGAGCACACAAGGGCTTTTTCACGATACACGCAGAGCAAGAAAAGTTTGCTTTAATTTAGTTTAATGTTCCCTAAATTTCTATAATCATTTATACAGAAGCAGAGAGGCAACAAAATAAGCACAAAAATAAACAAAAGCAGAACCCTATACAGAAGCGGAGACATAAAACAGTGAAGGATATTGCACCACCCGTAGCATGAAGTTCTGGCATCGTGCGCACACACTCACTCACATAGGAGTGCGCAGGAGAGGTAGGTAGGGGGGTGGGGTAAGAGGGGGTGCGAAGCCAGTGCCATTCATTGACATTGACAATTGACGGGGGGGGGGGGGGGCTGCGACAAACCTTCGACCCCCCCCTACCACGCGCACATACACGTTCAAAGCTTGTTACAGTAAAACCTCGTTAATACGTACATACGGGCCGAGAACGCGGCTAAATGCATACTAAACGTAGTATGCATTAATGTCCAAGTACCGATTCTTTACATGCGCCATCGCCGCTGAAGAAGAAAAAAATTCAGTGCCACAGCGAATATTGCTTAAAGTGTCCACCCCAAAGCAAATTCTTTCGCCAATAAGATCCGGACAAGTGAATCAGAGCTGAAGCAGAAGCCCGAGCGTCGTAGAAGAGCATGAGAGTTCGAAAAGTTTGCCGATTTTCAGAAATGATTGGCACTCTCGCACTATCTCACACGGCCATCCAACGACACGCGGTGAAGACATCAAGGAGCATTTCGAAACTACTGCGGAGTCAGGGATACGCAGCGGACGCAGTGACTGGCATAGCGACAAAACAGACATAAGTGGCTGTTCGCGATAAATGTGTATACCGCGGTCTGCTACTAAGCAAAAAATTGCCCGCAGCTTCCCTCGGGGGAACACTGAGGAGGATGCGGACCATATAATTGGTTAACGGGGTGTTAAAGTGGCGACTTACTTGGGTCGATGTCTAAATTGGTTAACGTGGTTGTGAAATGGGGTGTTAAATTGCGACTTACTTGGGTCGATGGCTAAATTGGTTAACATGGTTGTAGGAGGGGGTGTTAAATGAGTGAACACGTACACACGTATGCGAAAGGGCGGCGCTGGTCGAAGGGACGTCGATCATTCTGTTTGTGGATTCGTTGGAATTCATTTCACCGCGACCTTGGACGTCGACGCGCCGAACAAACCAACCGACGAGCGGCAACTGAGCGAGCGAGCGCCGACCTTGAGTATATATACAGCACGACGGCGCATGCACTGTCAGCTGTTGAATGTTCTCGAAGCGCGACGCCACATGCGCGTCCACTGGAGAATCAGGAGAATTGTAGATGTCGAACGTGGTGTGTAGAGGAGGAAGGGTGCACAGATGGTGGAGGAGTGAAGCGCGCGCGGTGTGTAGAGGAGGAAGGGATGCACAGATGGTGGAAGAGTGGGCGACGGCGCGACGGCGCATGCGCGCGCGTCAGCTGTCGAATGTTCGAGAAGCGGTGCGGACGGCGCGGACGGCGCACTACAAGGCGCGAGTATAAGATGCTCCGCATCTAAAACCGACACATCTTTTTTAAGACGTGGTACGGCCGCAGGGGAGCCCGCCGTCTATTGGTTAGTTGCGTGCAGCGCTTCGCCTACTTAACTGGTGTGCACACCGTGTCGAGCCGCTTGCGCCCAGTCTACTTCAACCCGCGCACAGATGCGGCGAGATGGCTATTGCATTGACGCAATGATGCGAGCTCTCTGCAAGGAATGTTCTAGCGGTCCTGGCAGCAAATTGAGACACGTTAGGGTTGTCGCCTCATGAAGGCGGGCAATATTCTTGCTGTCTCGGTGCCTGCTATGCACAACGCTCCCCTTCGCAGCAGTGAGATGCTTTCGTTTCTGCAAAGCGGTGCGCGCTGAACACGGTCCCGTACAGCGACCGAGGCGGCAGCAATCGGCAGACTTGTGGGCTCAGGTAGTCACCGGCTATTAAAAGCGTGCAGTATGCTTAAAGCGACGCTGCGCTGCACACCTAGGTTTTTCATCGGCGACGCCATACTCCATGCTTTTCGGTGGTCGCCACATCGCCTTCGGTCTTTGCGAACGACTACGATAAAGGGCACCGCTGCAATCGCGTGGAACTCGGAATAATTGATCGCCCGTTTCCGTGCTGTTGCATCAGCGCAACTGCACGCAAATCCAGCAGCGCAACATACAAGATGGCGACCGTCGCTCACGGAGTTTCGCTCACGGTTAGTTTCTGTTCCGCAACCACCTTGTGGCGCCGCAATGGCACAAATCAGACAAAGGGGACCCTTTTGGAGCAGCACGGCGCAGTAATTTCCAGTTGGCGCAGGTTTCTCACCACTTATATCTACATATTATTCACAAATGAAATATACAAGCAAAACACGCTGATCCGCGAAGCAGAGTGGATTAGGGTAAACTGCCGCAATTTGCAGATTTACCCAAAAAATCTAAGCAGATTAGGAAGCCAAGAAAAAAGGACTGTTCAGGAACAGCGTTCGTGTTTGCACGCCCTGCTTCTTTAATATGAAATCTGAGTCTCTTAAGTTGATTTGATTGATTGATTTATATGTGGGGTATAACGTCCCAAACCCAACCTATGAGGGACGACGCCATAGTGGAGGGCTCCGGAAATTTCGAACACCTGAGGTTCTTTAACGTGCACCCAAATCTGAGCACGCGGGCGTATACAACATTTTCGCCTCCATCTAAAATGCAGCCACCACAGCCGGGATTCGATCCCGCGACCTGCCGGTCCGCAGCCGAGCACCATAGCCACTAGACCACCGCGGCGGGGCCTAAGCGTCTAAAGAAAAGCATGATCAACACTTACGTCCAGCTGTTGCAGTATGGCAGCATTGTCACGCTTGAGCCTGAGGCTTCTCTGGAAGTTTCGCTGGCTGCTAAGCGTAACATTGCACGTGAGGTCGACATTCGGCTCACGGGACTTGAGCGCGAATTCCGTCAAGGCCTGAAGTGCAACTACGGTGTCCTGAAACAAAACGAAAAAAAAAAAAACTCTTTGGCAATGCCTACTGCTCAAAGGAAACATCAGGAGTTAGTGACACATTGGAGCTACTTGGACATCGCTGAGTGACACAGTCACAATCTGTGCAGCATATAGCCCATAACATCGTTTTTCACATGGATGAGAAACTTAGTGGTAGCAATAGCCTTGGGCAAGGCATATAGAGCAAACGCAAGATAACCACTGATCATGAAGAGTAACAAACTGGGTTCCAAGAGAAGGCAAGCAAAGCAAGCAAGCGAGGGGTAGGCAAAGTTAAGTGACAGACAGAGAGACAACATCAATGTTAAGTGAGCGGATAAAATCAGGACCGTGTTCGTCGGCGAAGCAGAGGAGATCCTGCAGTTGGCGCAGTCCCGGTGGTGGTGGTGGTGATGATGAGTGGTAGACTTGAACTGCCGTGTTTTAAGAAAATTTTCGGAACAATGGCGGAACGCCAAGCGTTCCCAAGGTGAAACTTTGCAAAATACTATGCACAGTGTTCGAACTATCGTAATTGTTTACTTCACATCTTGAGTCAAAATATTGAGGGACGCCTTACATTCATACATTTAGGGCCGCGTGTAATCTTTGGAGTAAAAATGTCCAGCCAGGCCGGAACATGGAGCCAATAGTCACAGTGAAATCTGTTACAATGTTGGTTCAAATGCAGCGCCCCCACGCGGCGCTGATAGTTGTGTTGAGCTGTGCAAGCCTGGCACAGGGCGGGGTGGCCGTTTTGGGAAATAATAAAAGACAGTTCGTTCTGGGCTAAGGGCTCAACACGTTCTCGTGTTATTCGCGGGTCTGATGGCCTACTGTTCATGGTAGTCACTACCGCCTGGCCATCAGTTAATCTACACACGTAAAAAACTAGCCCCGCCACTAGTTGTTACATGTTACAAAATCTTTAATTTAAATTACAAATCCAACATTGTAACAAAATCTTTAGCAGCGGCTTTCCTAGAGTCCATTAAGCTCGTTCTGGACGGCCAGTACAAGTACAGTTGCAAGAACATGAGTGTACGAAGTAGGAATTACCCGCTATGCCATTCATTCTTCTGCGGAGAAACGACGTAACCGCTACGCATTTGTGAGCAATCAGGGGCACTTTGCTGATGTTTCTGCTGATGGCAACGAAGAGTTATGGCTGAGCCCTAAACAACACGCTCCTCACTTAGTTCGCAATGTGTGGCGCCATGCGGTACTCACTTGCGTCGAGGCGAAAGATCCGGAAGCCGAGCGATGAGTGTTGAGCCAGTTGACGATCGTCTTGGCCGTCTCAACTTCGTTGTGGGCCAGAAGGGTCAACAGGGCGTACGCGGTGCCTTCCACGACGAGCGCGCTCGGCTCGGTGCCCGTGCTTCTCGTGCTCAACACTGAAACAGCAAGGATAACACGCGGTCATGACATGTATGAAGACAGCAGTAGGCTTCATGGAGGAGAAACGCTTAATTTGGCCGAACTTGTGGCCGAGAAAGTGACACCGGTGTCACACTGCCACTTTTGATCGTGATCGAGTATGATCCGTTTCGAATTTCGTGATCTTAGTTGGCTCCTTTACGCGAGCTGCCAATGCCACAGCCAATCCCAGTGGAGAAATTCGATCCCGACGAGGCTTAATCGCGATCAGCAGTACAACGTGTGACACAGGTATGAAAGTTATCGCAAGCGATGCACACTGTACACTGATATCGGTGTACAGTGCGTCGGTCGTCGATTATCTGACAAGCGGTGAAGCGCGTCGGCATTTATACGTGTGTCCTCGATTATCGCAGCATTATCGCTAGCGGCCACGCAAGTTCCAGAAGAATCTGTAATGGTACCTCTGTGCGCGTAATCACATCGGAAGGTTGTAAGATTATCTCCAGGATTCTTAGTCGATCGACGTGGTTTGAACAAGGCAGCACTTCATTGATATGTGGGGTTTAAGGTTCCAAAACCACTACATGATTACGAGATATGCCGTAGTGGAGCGCTCCAGTAATTTGAGACCACCTGGGGTTCCTTAACATCCACCCAAATCTGAGCACACGGGCCTATACTGCCTTTTCGCTGCCATTGAAAATGCAGCCGCCGCAGCCTGGACTCGATCCCTCAACTTGCGGGTCAGAAGCCGAGTACCTTAGCCACTAGATCACCGTGGCGGGGCAGTGGCAAAACCATTAGACCCCCACGGCAGATTTCGCATAGTAGCGGAAATCTACTTAACAGCGGTATCAAATTATCAGCATGCGTTTCAAAAACGTTTACCAAGACGTCCCCTAAAGTCGCCCTTTGAATGAACGCCTTTTTCATATCCCATATATGGTTATTTTCTGAAAAGTGTCGAACCTCAGGTTACCCAAAACATATCGCTATTTATTTTCACAATTCACAATGGCTGAACTCTGGGGCGTCGGTTATGACAGAGTTTCCATTCTATGATGGGGACTCGCTCGCTGGATTTTGTTCAGACTGGTTGTGCCCCCGCCATCTCCGACGACAGCACTGCTCTGGCCGACTGAGCTCGTCCTACGCCATCTCCTGACGCCGACAAGAGCTCTCGCCAGTGGTGTCCCGTCCTCGGACTCCTGCGACCGTGTCCATCTTCCCAGTCTTCTCTTTACTTCCGTCGCTCGCTGTCCCTGCGCCTCGTTCTCTCCTTCCTCTCTCTCTCTCTCTATCTCTTTACCTTTTAATCCTATCCTTTTAATCTCTCCTTTACCCCAACTCCACATGAGCTACTGTTGAGGTGTCCTCCCCTGAGAGACAGTTACGGGGCTCTCTTTTCTTTTCATTTAAAATCACTTCCCATTCAATGATTGTGATTAAATTCATAGTGACCGAATGGTCGCTCAGAAAAAAATTATTACGACCAGTCTTCCCTCTGAAGTTTACCCGAACAAAGCCTTATTAGCTGTAATAATAGGTGACAAAATAACTCGAGTAAGTGCTACTTATAAATGTCGCAAAACCTTATTCCGTGTGAAGCCACGGGTCGCTAGGGAAACATCCTCGGGCCACATGTTTAAGATGCCTGCTTAATGGCAAACATGTTTCATCGGATGAACCGTGATGCCAGCAGTATTACCAGGAAAAAAAATAGATCAGCGGCAGCTGATTTCACGCGGTGAATCTTAAGACGGCTTCAATTAAGGATTGGCTACTCACTGGGATCGTAGATGAGCCTGTCCTTGAGTGCCGACAGAGCGGCGTGCTTCTCGCTGCTGTTGGACTGGCTGAGCGCGTACGCCACCAATGCCGCCACGTAAGGCTCGTCACTCTCGAACGCGTGCTCCCGCAGGTAGTTGACGGCCATCTCGGCTGAGTTCCCCAGTATCTGGAAGTAGGTCTTAGGGAGGTTCAAAAACGAACGCAGGCGCACTTAAGGGATACTTACAGAGCGGGGTTAGTAATTTCTGCGTAACCCTATTCGCATTATTCTGTAACTTCATTTCATCATTTCAATCTATTTACAATAAGAATCATATTACAAAACGGTAGAGATAGACGAATTACTACTGAAGTTACTGAATTACTACTGAAATTACTACTGAAATTACTTTTAAAATTATCCTAAAACACTACATAATTTTGTTTATAAGCAGTGAAAAAATTCAGCAGGAATCCCCCAATCTGTCGGACAAGGTGCAATAAAAACTTGTACTGCCTACACTTGGGCACGAATTGTGAATCCCGTTCCTGCTCTAGCCCTGTATAGGGCTGCAGTATTTGAAAAAATAACACACGCGAGAGCTGAATATTTCGGGATGCAACATAAAAAGTCACCACTTTGCAGCAAAGGCAAAGCAATGAACGCGATAGCAACAGTTTGGAAAGTCACGCGAAAAATAACAAGCAGATTGAAACGTGCCCCGCGTTTCTCACGCACAAACGACGCACGAAACATAATCAAAGGCACAGATGAACGCGAATAACTTACGGCACACGGTACAGAACCTGCAAAACATGCACAGCCGCTGGATACCCAGCTGTGTCTAAAGTAGCTTTCTGGGTGGGTATGTACACTGGCTCGCATGGTGTCGAGTGCAGTTCGCGACTGTGGCAGGAATGATTGCGCAAAATCAGTTTCACCGAAAAGATGAGGCAATGAGTGTAATAGCGACAAATTGCTTTGTTATACGAAGTGAGGCTGGCAATCAACTCATTCAGATCCGTTCTCACGTAACTCTACAAAACGGAGGCGTAAGAGAACACAGCCGCTCCAAGTACACTCTTGGCACCGTTTTTTCATGTTGAAAGCACAACCCGTAGAAGCTCCCGCCTGCTGTTGAGCCACAAGGCGCGCGCTGATCTTTGCCGTGATAGCGTGTCAACCATAAGCGCCCCCCCCCCCCCCCCCCCCTCCTTGTTCGCTCACGAGATGAGCGCGCAAGCAGACGACCGCGGCCGGGAAGGCGATGTTCACTCCGCAGAAAGAGGAGACTAGAGCATACTTCCCTTATATGTACTACATACATATACATATACGTGAATGATGGTGGTTGCAGCGATGGCAAAAAACCAGCAGAGACTGTCCATTTAAATATTATCGCAATAAAATAGAACTTGTAGGCCATTAAGTAAAGTCGACAGCCGCAAGCAGAGGCGATCACCGGCGATGAAGCACTGAACAAGCGAAAGGCTGCTGCTGGTAATAACTTGCAGTTTCGTAACCCATAACGCCAACCGAATAATCTGGACTTGTCTGTTCCAGAGACGCTATCCAGTTGACGTCATATCCACGTCCTTTCTTCACTCGCTTCAATTTGGTTCCCCTTATGTCACAAGTCTCGTGGCACGACGCCCATTTTTAAGGTCTTTGACAAAACTCCGCTCAATCTTTTACGTATCGAGCATATCGCTCGCGTATCCCGCGCGTGGCTTAACTATATAGTGTTCCGTGTCTGCACAGCATGGGATTCTTGGACGATGTAGAACGTCGAAATTCGGTGTTGCTTAGCTCAAATCTTCGCGTTCTCAAACGGTGAGCAGCGGCTGACATTGGTAGCAACAGCAATCTCTATTGCAATGCTGTTCGCACTACGCGCTAACGAGCACACGTAAGAGCATTTTCAGAGATGAAGCACTTCAGGAGCCCTTGTGCAATCGACAAAAGAGACCAGTGAGGCTTGGCATTTCCCTCCTTTTCTTCTTTATTTTTTTTCTTCCTTCGAGTTTTTTTCTTTCCTTTCCTTTTTTTCTTTCGTTTTTGTATTGCGTTGCCTAAAAGAACCAAACATTCTCTTACATCCATGCCGAGAAACGGACCTTCATCCACGTGCCTAGTACCGCTCCACTTCACTTGCTACTTGTAAAAACGGTGGCCCTGCGTTCATATCTAAGCTACAGTGAAACTTGTCAACGTGAAATGACAAGTGCCTGCCATAAAAGATCACATCGTCATATCACAAGCAGCTTATCCCCGACAAGCCCACAATCGAGCACGCATCAATTATTGGCGAAACAAGGCATGCAAATGAGCACGCGGCCGGCACTTATTTGAAGGCCGCCTTTCTGTAGCCTTCCCGGCACCGGGTTTCGCGTGCCCGCTGCCATCAAAGTTTCCTACCCGAACGTATGTGAAATTATGTGAGGCCACGGGACGGCCATAGACGTCTTATTGCTCTCCCATAGTTGAGTACCAAATACTCGAAATAGGTAACATCATCTAAACGCAGAGCTTCCATTGGTAGACCTTCATGAGCAGGCCCCCATGAACACGTTTTAGCTTTTCTGTCTAACAGGTCTAAAATCCTGTTAGACCATTCACTCGCCATGAAATATCAGATTCCTTTCTTGAGACTCGCGATCGGTCAAGTTCTCTGGGAAAGTGTCCATCCAGTCTGGCCACATAGTATCATCGCTCATGTCGGTGTCCGGTGCGTCTTCCACATCGGACATTATGGATAGCCCTTGGGAAGCCTAGCTAGCTGAATAGGCCGCCAGGGGTGTTTGAAACTGAATGCCGAGATATCTGGCAACATGTTCGGACCTCCAAAATCTGTCCCTCAAAGCACTTTTTGCTTAAAAAACCGCCATGTTCAGCCGCATATGAACATGATTTCATATCTCTCTTCACAAGCCGGAAGTTCAAGACCTTGTCAGGGCATTCACTCCCCATGCATTATAAAAGATCCCTTACTTGGGACTCGCGATCGGCCTCGCCCACCACGGGATCGGTAGAGTTGTCTTCGAAACTGTCCATCCATTCGGGCCATATATTATCATCGCTCGTGTCCATGTCCGGTACGTCTTCCACATCGGACATGATGAACAGCCCAGGAAAGCCAAGCTCGCTGAACAGGCTGCCAGGGGTGTCTGACACTGAGCGCCGCGACATCTGGCAATATGTTCGGACGGACGACAGACGTCTCAGTGTTAGTGTCGTGGTGTACAATGCCGATGTACAATGTCATGATGTACCATTTCTTAAACTATTTGTATTTGTTTATTCAGTGAGGCAAATTAGCTCTTTCTCATTTTTTTTCTTCTTCTTTTCTTTTTTTCCATATTTTTTGTTCTTTGCTTATTACCTCTTCCTTCATGCTCAAGTTTAGTACTCCTGAAGCAAAACAAAAATTAGCACAGTTTTCAGCACCCGGTTTACAGAAAGGCTACATTCACATCCTTCTTTCTTGCAGTTGCGCTTCACATGTATCATGACGAAAATGCATGGTTCTATAGACTAGTTCAAGGCGCAGACCACAGGTTTCAGCCCCCCAAACAGTTAAAGCACCATTGTTTTATAACAATAAACTCGAAACTATTAGATTAGCATTGTCTGTCAGCATAGCGTGGCAGCATTAGCGCATTTAAAACCAATAGGTCCCTGACACGGCGGGATAAACAACATCTGGAGCTCAACGTCCCATAATCAGCATTTGATCATTAGCGACGCCACAGCGGAAGGCTTCGGTTACTTTGATCATTGCGTGTTATTTAACGTGCACTGATAGTGCACAGGCGATACGGGCCTCTACAACATTCCGGCTAACCTTAGAGAGTGAACCATAATGCAACCCGCATAATAACGCTCATTAGAGCTTGTGCTATAGTTGGTAACTCGTCATTGTGTAGGTATACTTAGCGCAACTTGGTGTTCCGCCTGATAACCCGCTCACACACACGCACGCATGCGCTCGCTGTGTGTAGAGTGTGTCTTTTTTTAGTGGAGGCGAGTGTGAATGTGAGCGTGTGTTTCGAGGGAATACCATGCCGCGCTAAATACCCACAAGAAATGCCGGAGAGACGCTGAAGTTGTAAGAAGTTGTGAGAAAAATCGTTCAACAGCGAGGTTCCCGAACAAAGGATCACTTTGCTTGAAGACGTAAGTTATTGCAAATGCATGGAATATCATCACGATCACTGGCGTGCACAGAGTTCCCCTTCAGTGCGCCCCCACCCCGAGTCACAGCGTCACCCTCCTAATAATGTCCATGTATGAGGCTGACTTTGCCGCCACCCCCCCCCCCCTTCCTCTTAGGTGACTAGGTAGAACGGGCATCCCCGCCACGTGCGCACGCTCATGATCACGATTTACATATAATTATCAGTCAACCACTGTCAACAATGTGAGCGATCAGAAACACAGACAACACTAAGCAAAAGAGGGATAGTCGTGACAATTACCCTCTTGCTGTCTCGCGAGTAGATGTCGTACTTGTCGTAGGCTACACCGCTGGGTGGCCGCATGCACTCGTTGAATGTGAGCAGCACGAAAGCAGTCATGGGTACGGCACCACGGACACCTCCCTGCGAACGAAACGAAAGCATCCAAATGTATGGCTCATCTGTAACCCACATTGTTAGCAGGCTTACACGAGAGTGCCTGCGTAAAGTGGGAGGAGGGTGTGTGGGGAGGGTGTTGATTCCATCGCGAGCACTGGCGGAACCAAATAGGTTTTAAAAAATTGCTGCAGTTGAAATTGAAGCCCACGAGTGAAGTCGAAACCACACCAAGCTGGTGGCTGCGGCTGCCATCTTACTAGGGGCATGATGAGCTGTTAGTGTTCGGCGATCGAAAAGCTATTGTACACTTAACTTGTACATACAGACACGAAACACCGAGAACAAGTGTACGCATCTTACAAATGAGCACTAAAATCCAATTTATCTCTGTATTCGAATGCGATGTCATGACTTTGATTGTTATGGACTTCGTGGGAATAAGCTTACTCAAGAAACGGAGCTATCCTCGTAAATGTGAAGGCATCCGTTGCGCTTCTCGTGCAGGGACAGTAGTGGGGCCTGTTTCAGGGCTAGATGCGACGACAGCTGCTGAACTCGCCACCATATACGTGTAGCTCTGTAGTTTATAGTGGAAGAACTTTTGGAAACTTACTCCACCTTGTCGGGCTCAAAGACAACTTTTCAGTGTTTTATGTCGCCCTTTTGCCATAGACCTAATGAACAGTTAGTAACCGATGTAAAGCTTCTACCCCACCAAGAAATCAAGAGACAACACAGCATAGCGTATCAGTGGATGCCAGGTCATTGCAGTATATATGGCAACGACCGCTAGATGTGCACGTGATGGTACGCAATACAAAGCCATCCCGTTCTCAAGAACGGACGCAGCTACAAAGCTTCGTTCGCTTGACATGACGTCAAACTGATACAGCGGAACTCGATAGCATACACAAACGCTCTCCTACATAACTTGGATCCACATCTCAAGCTTCGCCTTCCCTCAGGGATATCTCAAGCTGAGGAGACTCTTCTATGGTGCCTGTGGCTTGGCGTGGCCTTCGCGAACGCACACTCCTTTCTTATTGGAATGGCCAGCACTTCATTTACATGCAATTACTGCAGCTGCGAAAAAACAATCACCCATCATCTGTGCGAATGTACACATTCAAATGCACCACGACACCTCCTCGAAGGGAATCACGAGGAAGTGCGAATATTGCGTAGCGTCCATAACGTCGTTTCGCAGGTCGTTTCCCAGCGCTAGACGAATAACGAATAATGTTTTTTTTTCTTACACCATGCAGCCGATAGCGCCGATCGCCGCATGTGGCTGGCCTTTTTCTCTCGCCAGAAACGCGGTACGAGTTTCCTACTCTAGTAGACAGCAGCTCGTCCTTGGCAGATCAGCTCTGGGCTGTCCACCAAGCCCGCGAGGCGACTGAGGAGCTCGGCATCTCAGTCTTCACGTGGGAGCTGCCCGCCACACAGTGATCTGTGTTTTGGAGGACCAAATAAAAGTTTATCCAATCCATTCCAATAGCATGCACGTTTAAAAAAATACTGTGAAGTGAACAAAACAAACAGCGTTCTCGGCTCGGCGTTGGCGTTTCACAGTGGCGTCTCGAGCACACATGCACCCAGCCAGCGACCGGTCAAGAGTGAGCCGCGAGCGGGCGGGAAAGTGGGGCGCCGGGAGGAAAGTGAACGGCGAGAGAAGGAGCGACGAAGCACTGCACTTACCCTCTCCTGCACTCTCTCGCACCACATGTTCCGGTTGCTAGGGGCGAACATAAGCGCGCGCGCCCGCAGCTGTTGCTATGGGAGAGGGTGAGAGTGGAGAGAAAAGCACCTGCCGGCGTGCGGGCACCGCCGCGGACAACGCCGGATACATAGCCCGACTAAGAAATGTATTCGTGTTTAAAAGATGTTGCACAGGCATGTGGCCTTCTTTGTAGCGACGCGCACAGACGCGACGCATGCCACGGCACTCAAACATCACACGGTGTCCGTGGATTGAAATGAAGTTCAGCGCGGCATTTGCATTTCCATCTTTACGACTCGTGTACCGGTAAATGTAGACTGTTGTCGTTGCAGGGTAACATGTGATATACTATGAGCTTTGCCAAAAGACTGCAATGCAGAGAGGACCGCGTCATTGGGTACGTGTGGTGGCAGCCCGTACGCACTCACGAACACACTTGGTGGACCTATGACTTCCACTTGAGCTTTTTAGGGGCGAAGCTCTTTATAGGGGCACCCGTTCGTCCCTCGTACCTGATGCAGTAGTGTGTAACAAGTATAACATTTTGACCTCCAAGGTGGTGCCGGTGAGAGATTTCTTCTGTGCTTTGTTGAACAATAAAAGTTAGTGCTTAATGTAAATGCCAATCGCTGCTAAGGGGGAATGAGAGACAGGAGAATTCGACTTTCAGTTAACGCGCACGCTGCGAATTTTTTATTGTTCAACAACCCACAGAAGACAAGAAAGGGTTGCTACGTTATACTCGCTGGGCGTAACCTCCTTAGTTTTAGAAAGGTTTAGCGAGCGTTGGGCCGCAGTGCCATGAATACAGTGAACGAGTATATACCATGAACTCGAGGTGGTTAATGGTGGGAAGTAGACACGAAGCGCAAACCGTAAGAAAGTGTGCGTGTGCCTCCTCTCGTTCAGTCCTTGGAATGTCCGCTGGATGGTGGTACTTCTATATGAGGAATATATGATGAAAAGATGCGAGATGTTGGTACTTGCAGTGTTGAATAGGTGGACGAACGGACACACAGACAGATGCATGGACGCACGCACGGATGGCTGCACGGACAGATGGACGCATGGACGGATGCAGGAGCGGATGCATGGACGAAAGCAGGGACGGACGTACAGATGAACATGCGGACGCACGAACAGACGCACGCACAGACGGGCAGATGGACGCACAGGTAGCCACACAGACGCACGCATGGATGGACGGAAGCAAGAATGAAGGGACAGACGGATGCTTCGCTATGCTATCCATCATTCACTTCATGGATATGCTGCCACTTTTTTTTTTCTTCTGAAGGACAAAACCTTCATTCTCCATGAGCTTTGTGGCTTGTTCCGCGGTCCTCGTTGCCACCTAAAACTTGAAAGCGCTGAGTTCGTGGCCGAGGTGTTGCAAGAACTGCACCCCTTCGCTACCGGTCGCCTCTTCGAGACACTCGATGATCTCATCGACAGAGACCGCGGGGTGCATAATGGCATCGACGCCAACCTCCGGGGACCCCAGGTATCGCGACTTCTCGACCCAAGCCGCGGAGATACTGAACGTGGGCGAGACGCCGAAGAAACGTGGCCGAAACGCTGGACGCCTCGATGAGAGCCGCACTCACGCACTAAAACACGAACGGCAAACAGAGCGTTTTATTCGGGTGCCCCACAAGGTTAAGGAGGTAACTTTTTCTGGTCAAATAGGGCTTAAAGTGCGTCTTTATGTTATTAGCTTTTTTCTTAGTATGCCTCGAATTCAATGCAAACTGGGGATTGAGTCACCAATACTCGTCTCTAAATGTTGTTTCATCGGAGACAACTGTCTTTTAGTTTATAATTAACGTAGCATTTATACGAACAGATCAAAGCGACTTGATCACTAAGTGGACACTATACAAGAAAAGACCATGTTTCCTAGATATTTGGTGGGCAATAACTGGCTTAGGTATTGCTAGCAAAGCACTGCGGGAGCTTCCACTCCAGCAATTTTAGATGGTGGTAGAAAACATTTATCAATGTATTTACAATGAGAGGTATGGATAGGGCAAGTCTGAAGGGCCCGCATATCACAACCGCTAGGAGGGATCCCTGTTCCGGTATGCTCAGAGCACGTGGTTGCTGGCGGTGAAGGTGTCTGTGAGGACATGCGCTATACAGGGTGACTGCGTCCGATAGACGACGTTCAGTTCAGTCAGTGGTTCTTGGTGGCGCCGGCGGAGTGCTGCTTTCCAGGTCGCCAAAACAATGCACTCACGCGCTGCGCGGAGCTGCTGGAAGTGGCGGGTGTGCGTTACGGAGAATTGTAGCACTTCGCTGGTGCCAGTCACTCAGTCACCATGCGTCACGAACGCTCTCGCGCTGACCGCCAGCAGCAATGCACTTACAGTGTCGCGTGTCAATCACCGAGCCATGTATGCCCTAGCTCACGAAGACGACGAGCCAATGCACAAAAACATACGGGGACTTAAAACAGATATACCTCGCGATTTGTTGCTTTAATCTAATCAGAAATAATAGATGAATAGACGGAAAGGCAGGCATGCTATCCGGTCTAGAAGAACCGGTATGCTAACCTACACTGCGTGGAAAGAGATGAATGAATTTGGAAGATGGAGAAAGAGAGAGGGCGAGAATACATACACACGATCCTAGGCCTCGTCGTCATGATAACACCATTATTCTATAACCGCGGGAAGGTGCGAGATGAGGGGGGATATGCTGGACTGACTGTGCGTAGAGAGGCACAGGAAACCGAACTGTCATTGTTACACTTAAGCCTTGAAAGACTGTTTACTGCTCAAGTCCAGAACGAAATGCGGTCAACAACTGAGGCTGCTAAGATATGTGGTATGAAAACTGTAAGAGGTGGGATCCCGTTCTAGGGCGGCAAGTTCCGTCACGAGCTTGAGGGTAAATCCTCTGAATTATTACATTTGGCTTCCATGCTAGCTTCATGACCAACAGATTAATAATTCCTGTGTCTAATTAGTAGACCAATCGTCTACACAGGTTATGGTTTTCATATCTGCAGCAGCATGTTCCAAATATTTCGTAACAGAACGAACAGCGCCCCGCGTATATATTCAAAGAAAGTCGGTGTTGCCCTTACCAACATGGTTTTGTGCATAATGGGCTTCTTCTCGACGAAGCTGCCGTCTAACTTCTGCGCCGCTGAAAGCCACAGCATCCCTTTCTCGATGACGGTTGGGTCGATGCTGGCGTACCGCCTCGCCTTGCAAAAGATTCGCAGGACGAAGGCCGTCAACCTAAGGAAAGAACGAAAGGGATGCAGCCAACAAAGATACATCGAATGGCGAAAAAAAATTATAACAATAAGCCGAAGAAACGTGGTTAATGGCTTTCTGCTTAGACTGCTGAGAAAACAATTTCAGGAGACAGATACGTTAGGTGATTAGTGCTAATGACATGTTCTACAACTAAACTGTCCTAATGTGTCCTGTGTGGTCATCTTCGTCTTAATATAGTAGTAACAGTATAAATAGTGCTAGCAGTAGTAGCAGTAGTAGTAGTAACAGTAGTAGTAGAAGCTGTAGCATTAAGAGTAGTCTTAGCAGCAGCAGCAGTAGTCGTAGTTGTTATTGCCGTAAGGCTTATAGCAGCGACAGTAGAACCGCGCAAGTCACCTCACAAGGAGAGAGAATGAATGAAAAAAAAATCAATAATACGAAACGGTGACGACATCGGATAGAAATAACTAAAGTGATTCACACTTTCATTCAGTACATCAATTACATACGTATATACAGTAATAAACTAAGGCGATTCGCGTTTTTATTAATGGCAATTAGTAGGAACCTACATTACTGCAGTTTCAAGAAGGCAAGACGCCTGGTGAAGTAAGACAGCCAAAAAATGTCACAATTTCGCCAAAAAGGCGAAGCAATGAATGCGATAGCAACGTATTCTAGTGTTGTACGAAGCAAGGCTAGCATTTTTAGGAGCACTATTGTAGCACACATGCGCTTGCCAAGTAACCAAGTTTCCTGCGGCGCAGCAACAATAGATGACCACAACGAGGCTCGTGCGTAGTGATGACGTTGGTGAGAAGCGCCTCCCGTGGGCAGCGCATGCTGGTACTAAGAGCTATACGTCGTGTGTCGCCACTGGTGGCAGCTTATGTGTAGAGCACATCTATATGTGGACGGCCGCTCCAGCTATACTTTTGGCGCCGTTCTTTCGTGTCGATAGCTGAGACTGTAGAAGCTCCCGCCTGCTGTGGCGGCAAGAACCATGCGCCGATCGTTGCCGCGATAGCGCGGCAACCATACCCCCCCCCCCCCCCCCCCCCTTTCCGTTTTCTCTCGCGATAGGCGCGCGCCCAAACGACCCAGGTCGGAAAGGCGACGGTTCGCTCCACAGAAAAAGGAGGCTAGCGCATCTTTCCCTGTATAAATACAGGGTGTCCCATATAACTTGAGCCAAGAATTTGAAAGTGAAAGGCACTTAGGAGGAGAATTGAACCAAACGCATACATCTCGCACTAGCCTGTAGGTACTCAGGCTATTTTTATTTCTCCCCATACTAATTAATTAGCAATTCTTAATTACCATATTTAATTATGGACTGGAAACCAAAAATATGAACACTGAGATGTAGAACACTTTCAGAAACCACCGACAAAATTGTTTCCTCTACGATGCGTCTAGCGCTGTTATTTTTTCCGCGTTGTAAAGAGAGTATATAGCGGCACTATAGCAGTGCGCTCACGGTCCGACACACGGCTTCTTTTCACGTTTCGCGGGCTTTCTGATCAAAGTGGAAAAAATAACAGCGCGAGACGTATCGTACGGGAAACAATTCATTTGGTGGTTTCTGAAAGTGCTCTACATTTCGGTGCTCATATTTTGGGTTTACAGTCCATAATTAAAAAGACAATTAAAAGATAATTTAAAAGATATTTAAAAAAGTAATTAAGGATTACTAATTAATTAGTATGGGGAGAAATAAAAGTAGCCTGAGTACCTACAGGCTAGTGCAAGAAGTATGCGTTTGGTTCAATTCGCCTCCTAAGTGCCTTTCACTTTCAAATTCTTGGCTCAAGTTATATGGGACACCCTGTATATACGTCCATGACGGCGGCGGCGACAGCAAAAACCAGTCAAGACTGTCTATATATTTGTTATCGCAATAAAACTATCGTAACACTTACCATACGCTGCTCTTTCTGTGCTTGAAAGCAGAAAACGACCCGTCCATCTTCCGGAATGAAAGCTCCCGCTGATAGCCTGCATGAAATCGCCACAAGTCGCGTTGAAGCACGTTTCCTATTAATTTAAACAGTGAGATTCGACCTCACCTTCACGTATGTACCTATAGCCTTTCTCCTCCAGCGCTTCGTCGACCATGTTGTTTTGTTTTAGGTACTCCATGGCGTAGAGCGTAGGCGCCATGAGCATCATGTTTTGTTCTCCGCATCCAGTGGGCATCGTGACGAGATCTTCGATGTTCTCAAGCGTCGTTTGAACGGAAGGTCCGATCTGGTTCCCTGCAAAACAAGTACTTGATTCAAAAAGTTGGCGCAATACATCATTCCATTATTATGAAGAATTTTACTCATTTCTTTTAATATACGATTTGTGCTAGGCACTTTTTTTTTCCAAGAAAGACACTAGAGTGAATTTTGGGCGGCGATACAACACGCAATGACTGGTATAGTACAGGCTTTGGATGAATTAGAACCCCTGGAAATACACTAAAACCACAAATGTATTGGCTGTAGTGTTGTTATTGTTTATATACGGTAGACTTCCCTTAGTGTTTTTTTTTTGTATTTTCGGTTTATTGGGTATCCCAGTCGCAGAAGTAACTGCTCTCAAACTGGGGCACTCAAGATAAATATAAAGCTGTTTATTTAAAAGCAAAATTATTAGGCAGCGTGCATTAGCTGACTACATCTTGTGTTAAAGTTTTTGTTGCAGTAGGATACATCTGTTTTACTTCCAGTATGTGAGCGTCCATGTGTTTTTTGTGTGTGTGTGTGTGTGGTTGTTAACAGTTCAATAACATATATTTATTTGGAAGAAAAACGTAGTTGGTGCCACAAATAAACACCAACCTAGTCACCTTTTTTCACCAGCGTGACCTTTGACCCCATTTGCAATACCGCTGGCTACTCGAGTATGGGCTCACAATGTTTCATACACGTGCCAGTACTGGAAAACTGAGCGTTAGAACTCGGCTATCCTAAACACCACATTAGAAAACAGCGTATGAGTATCCGGTATAAAATATTAGAATGAACAAACTTCGCACTTGATAAAAAGACAAAGCAAACGCCATTGTCTTTTATTTTTTGTGTTATTTTTGTGGTTAAAATAATTTGCAGTGGTTAAAATAATTAGCTCAGTAACACATTTGGTTAGCTATTGGTATTGTACCTATGACGGAGAGCGAACAAGTCTTGGTATCCGGGATGGCGTCTGGTGGTAGCCGGGTGTTCACGGAAATTACTTGCAGGTTTGCTCCCGGGTCCAGGGAATCTGTAGAAATCCACATAGTTATTTCAGCACGGTGAAATCAAAATACATACCGAGTGGGCTTATATATCGATCACCAATGTGGTTTCGAATCAACTCACGATTACGTGCCCCGTTCTTATTCGTCTTCTTCTGATCCGTTGAAGTTAGCGTTATTCAGCGAAGGACATAGAATGCCACTAACAGAAGGAACCCATAATAAACTCAACATCTTTCGCTCCTGAATTCGTTCGCAACGCTATCTATATAGTCCGTTTCATTTCAAACTCAGAGCACTGATATCGATATAAATAAATTAGACAGCTATGAACACTGTTTTAGCTTTATCGGCACTTCATTTCGGGATAAGAATTCACTGTCAAACTAAATTACATGAAGCTGGGTTTCTGCGCGCGCACAGGAAAACGCCATTGTACTTTACTTGAGTGAGATACAACTTAAGTCCGCGGCTTCTGCTTCTCGAGGGTGCATGCACACAAGCAGGCACCACTGGGCGCTGTTATACGCATTCGGCGGCTGAACGACCACCTGCCCAAGGAACAGAGGACGCACAAAGTGCCAGGAAGGCAGATTCCTCGTTAGTCATTAAAAGACGCGTCTTTGTGCGCTACGCAGCTGTTCTGAGGGTGGCAGGAGAGAGAGAAACATAACGCAGAAAGCGGGGCAATCTTATCTGACGGTCCCAAACCCAAGCTGGCATGGTGAGCTGGATAACCAATGACCTCGCATTTAAAGAACATTGCCAAGGGCATGATTGGGACTACTTGTTTATTTACGGAGGCGATCAGCTGCAGTACATTGGTAGTCCGGGTTGGTTTTTTTTTTAGTTGTATCCGACTATAGATGAGCGCGAGCACCGGCGTTCACAAGCTCAAACAGAGGCGGGCAAACGCATTGAGCGACTTCCTTAAGATAACGCAAGCTACAAGCCTTATACATGTGTGCAAGTCTGGCGATGCCGGCGGTGACAGTCACAGGATGCGGAGAAAGATTCGGAAACATGCGGAATGTGCGACGCCTTTTGTTTCCTTTGAAACGCGGAGCCATGACGGGCCAAGAGAAGCGCGGTCTTCCGCGCTTGTCTTCCACTGCCTTGCCCGGGGCCACTCAATGTCTTCCTCTCATGCGGATGGAAGTAAGGCGAATGCGGTAAATGCCTTAACAAAATACAGGTGAGAAGCGGATCGTGTAAGGATGTTGCTACTCTATTAATGTGAAACCTGGGGGAAGGGGCGAATCATGCAATGGTCTTCTTACGTGGTTCTTAAAGGGAAAAGAAAACAAAATTGAGCCCCGTAACTGTCTGCATCAGGTGCGACACATCAACAGTAGCTCACAAGGGATGCGGTTAAGAAGAGATTAAAAGGGGTAGGATTAAAAGGTATTTATAGAGAGAGGAAAGAGAGAACGAGGCGCAGGGACAGCAAGCGAAGGAAGTAAAGATAAGATAGCAAAGATGGAAACACGGTCACAGGAGTCCGAGGACGGGGCACCACTTGCGAGAGCTCTTGTCGGCGTCAGTAGGTGGCGTAGAGCAAGTCCAGTCGGTCAGAGCTACGCTGTCGTCGGAGGTCGGCGTCAGGAGATGACGTAGGGCGAGCCCAGTCGGCCAGAGCTACGCTGACGTCGGAGATCGCGGGGGCACAACCGGTCCGCACAAAATCCAGCGAGCGAGTCGATTCTTTGCATGCCTGGTTTCAGAAAGGAAGAGTGTTTCAGCCCCGCTAACGTTCTCGTCGGCTATTCATCGTGCCGACAGTTGCTGCCTTCTTCATTTTTAGTGGACCGGCAGAAAGTAAGTGGAATCACCCAGTTTCTGTGGCTTTTTTTGTTTTTTACAATGGGTCATGGCTACATGACACGCCATGACAACATTAGATGCTGTTGCGAAGCGCGCCTCCGACGACGTTACGAAGGGCGCCTCGAAATCTCACCGCTGCAACCACTGTTTCGAAAGACGGCGACGCCAACACGGACCCGAAGGCGCCACTGCTTCGAACTCCGCCAGGAAGGTCACCTGCCGTTTGGTAGCGTAGGTTTTTCAGCTCGCGACTGCTTCTGCGCAGAGCTGATAGACGAGCGGACTAGACAACGGTGAGTTAAACAAGGTTTATGTACAGCATATATACAGAGGCGTTACAAATTCGGCACTGAGGCCGACAGAGACGCGAAGAGCTTCTCTCTAACACATAGCTTTACTCTCAAATGGGTCTGCTGTCAAAGGGGTCTGCTCTGACACACATGTCTGCTCTCACATAGGACTGCTAACACATAGCTCAACTGCGACACACATGTCTGCTCTCACATAGGACTGCTGCGACACACATGTCTGCTTTCCAACAGGGCTGCTCGCGACGAGCCGCAGGGCTTCTTTTATATGCACCGGGTGGATTATTTGAATAACAAAATGTCCAACCAGAAGCGCCGCTGGTCGTGAGGCCAGACTCCTCCATTGGGGTCGCCGCTGGGCCGCGTCCTTCTTTCTCATCGAATCTGGAGAGGCTGCGCTGCAGGTGGCTGCACCCAAGGACGAGTGACGTCGCAAGGCATTGCGTCAGACTTGCCAGGCAGGAAGGCGCCAGTTGTTTACTCGACGGGCTCGCGGGCTGAGGTGACTCACTGCACGTGCGCGCCAGAAAGGCGCCGCCGCGTGTTGACGCCGTTGAGTTGTTCGTGTCAGGCGGACTCGCGGGCTGGCCTTGACACAGATTGCCTTTTAGGGGCGAAGCTCCTTAAGGCGTGGGCTGTATGTCCCCTGTATGTAGCCACCTCTCGTTTAGTTCTTCCAGTGTCCACTAGATGGCGGTACCGTCTCCTGTATGTCGCCTCTTCTCGTTTAGTTCTTGCAGTGTTCACTAGATGGCGGCTCCGTCTCCTGCATGTAGCCACCTCTCGTTTAGTTCTTTCAGTGCTCACTAGATGGCGGCACTTGTAGCTGATGATGAAAAGATGCAAGATGTTATAAACTAGACGGCGGTACTTGTAGTTGATGATGAAAGATGCGAGATGTTATAAAATAGGAATGATGTCACATATGGCACGTGTCATTGATGGAAGGCAATGTTCGATTTAGTGCGGCGCCGTATGCTAGGGGGAGCATTGTAATAAAATCGAGTAGGCAAAATGTACGGAAGATTCATGGCTTACCAAGTTTTCCTCCAGAGCTTCGCCCACTCATCATCATTCACTTCGTGGATATGGCGGCACTTTTTTACAGAGGCACGGACGTTCGCTGTGGACTCGCAGGCATAACAATGCCGACGCGTCGATACCTCAAGTTCCTTCGTCATGCCATGACAGGATGACGTCATCACGTGAGATTAACTTTACAACGAACAGTGAACACATGACACATCGTGACGACAAGCTTTGCACCTAAATGTGCCGTAACGAAGCGCTAAGAGGGATTCGTAGAAACGGGCACAAGGTGCGTGAACCACCGAAAGCTTTGCGTACCTTGGAACAGATCGCCTTTGACGCTGCGGGTTCTACGTCTCCGAACGTTCGCCGGATCAATGGGCACGGAGATGCTCTTTTCAACCGTGACCCCTTCAGGCTGCAAGTAGAAGGGTTCCTCTCGTTAGCCACCAAAACCAGAAATTTTTCCTGTACATGCTGCAAAAGCGTAAGCGCTGCCCACAGAAATGACGTCGACATTATGTCCTAGTGCATTTACAATCAACGCCATAGTTCTGGTAAACATGAAGAATTTTCAGTGAAATTATTCAAGAGCCTTTAAAATTCATGTGATAGCGTATGTCTGTTTGCCAGTTATGCCGTTCAGATCGTGTCGTGTGTCCAAATTCTGGCGTTGTTAAATGTTTTCCTCCACAGCCCCCGTCATACCCTCACACGGAGTCTTTCATATGCGTTCGATGAAGGACAGAGGATTTTATTTATTTATTTATTTAATAATATTGTCAGCCCTCGCTTGAGGGTCATAACTGGGAGGGAGTACAATAGTAAGTAAAAACAGAAAACCAAGACAACTGGCACTCAAATAGCAATGCACGCAAGAAACCAAAATCGGCAGCAGTTCAATTCAACCATGACCAAAATGGAATGGGTTGGAATGGTTAGTCTATTGAAAGGCAACTACTGGGGCCTCCTCAAAAGTGCAACTAGTCGAAGCTGCAAAAAGTGACTGCTCTTTCGTCAGTGGGCCACGCATTTTATATGCAAGAATAATTACATCGTCTCAGCACTGCGTGTGCAGTTGATGGCTTTCCCACAGATTCTGACACGTTAACCATATTCATTCTCCGATGCGTATTGAGGTTGTCACGTTCTGTGCATTCGGCTGTCGGCACGCTTGATGCTAGGACTCGAAGCATAGCTTCACTCCGCATCAATTATAGGTTGTCATGCATAAATGAAGCTTCCTTTAAAAGCTAGTGTTCATATGTGTCTTACTTGTGCGCTCGACTTTCATATGCGCTTAAAATTCTTGGCCTCAGTGTATTACCTGCATTACTGCGTTATACAATATTAAGCTACATGTTTTTCACGAAAGGCATAGAACAGTGTTGAATTCTCGCAGACAAAAAAAAAACAAGTTGCAACACTACAGAGCACCTTATGGGACACGATCGCACACGGAATCGAGCCAAATACTTCCGGTATTGCAGGCAGATACGATACGGGACTTCACTACCACTGCAGTGTTCAAGATCTTCGCAACGTCTCACCACGACATTGAGCTCTTTCTCGACGACATCATCTCCCTTCGAGCTCCTCACGTGGATCTTGATGACGAACAAGCCTTCCTTGAGAGGCACGACGGGAAATGTGACGCTGGAGGCCGAGTTGGCTTCCACCACCACGGGACGGCGCTCCGAACGGTCTCCCGGCAGTGCACCGGTGCACAGCCCTTCCACCCCGTAGATGTAGACGTTGCCCTGTAAAGTAAGGAAGCAGCTTAGACCGAGGATTCTGATAAACATGAAAGCTAAAATTTCGTGCTCAAGATTACTATCGCGAACTGAGGTCGATGCGACTATAAAATGCGCAAAAATGGGACCGAGAAAGAAGGATACACAAAACACAAGCCCTGAAGAACAACAGTGTAAATTTATTACACCGGGGAATATTGCCAAAAACAAAAAAAAATTAAATGAAACCATCACGTACACATTCCGCACGTGATGCCTTCTATGGCTCATAGCATTCTGTGGCCATAGAATGCTTACAGGATTAGTTGCTCTAGTAACGCTTATTCGTTCTCAGCCACCTACTCTTCAGTGCAGCACAAAAAGTATAGAGTTAATATCTGGGACAATTGGCCCATGTTACTTGAAGAAAAGCCAGCAAAAGCACGGGACACAAGAAATTCCAGCTTTATGTACGTCTGCCTTTTTCTCCTCTCCCGTGAGTTTGCTGCCTTTTCTTCGAGAAATTAGGGATAGTTTCTTGTCAGCCACAACTTCCCTTGACACTTGGACGTTGTACATTTTAGTAATTATTTCACGATAACTATGCAGCCGTAACATGCAGCAATATGGCCCTGCTTATAGCATAAAATGTTGCATATGACCTACGAGATAACCCGAACAATATAGAAATCAAAATGTAGAATGGACTAACGGAAAAATTCGTGTACTTTAACTGCATATCGGAATTCGCATTCACGTGCAAGCGTAAGCAGTTACTATTATTTTTTAAACGTAATGTGTCTGTGTTTAGTCTTTTATAAATTACGATTATTCAAAGAGTGTTCGACGAAAATAGCGAGGTTGTAAAGAGCTTAAAAAAGTAAGCGCGTCACAGTCACAATGACACCACTAAAAAAAAATCACAGTGTCGCCGCAAGAGCGAAGCAATGAATGCGATAGCAACAACTTAAACTGTAACGCTGAGAACGGCTAACAGACTGAAACGTGCAGCGCACTGCTCACGCACAAATGACGCACGAGGACAACACACAGGGGACGAGAGCTAACTAACAACTTTTACAGCGCGACGCTTAACGCGCTGTTTAAACAAAAACTACGCACGAAACACAATCACAGGTTCAGATATGAGAGCGAACTGACGGGTGTCCCAGTTGTTACTTCACTGTGTTTGAAAAGCGCGCTCTTTTCGCAAGCAAGGCCTACCCAGCGAGCGAAGAGATCTTTGTGCGCTCGACAACTAAACGCAACCTTTCCCGTGAAAAGCTCACGATTCTCCCCACAGGAGGATAAACACGCACGCACAAGCACTTCCCCCCCCCCCACCCGCCCCCATCAACGGGGCAAAGTACGCGTGGGAGATAAGCGCGTCGGCACATCGCGACGAGCTGGGTGCCGAGTACAGGCGTTTTTTTTTCTTTTTTGAGATTTCATATAACTAGATACGTATGCATATACGGTGCATGACGGCAGCGGCGGCGACGGGAAAAACCAGCCGAGACTCTCCATATAATTGCTATCGCAATAAAAATGGGACAAGGGGAGTGCTGGCGACAGTACTTTCCATAGAAAAAAAAAGTTGCCACTCACCCTCAGCGACTCGGCTCCGTAATTGTAGACCGTGACAAGCACCTCAATTTGTTCGTTCCGAACCACTTTGTATGGCAGCGCAACCTGCAGGAAAATCGGCTGGAAGACCCGGACTTCTTGCGGCTGGGGCACGCAGACGCCTCCGGTAGGAGAAACGCTGACGGCTTGGACCGACCACGTGGTGATACTGTGCGGCAGACTGACCGCGAAATCAGCCACACCATCCGGCCTGTGAAAGAGAGAGTGGAAAGGGAGGAGGAACAGCAGAGTGTCACCCACCCGTTACTTCACCGAGTTCCGTGGCATTATCTTTTCGTTGGCTTATCACTTTTAATCTGTCCGTCGTACAAAGCCACGCGCGCGGAATGTACACAGTATCTGTGTCTTCTTGCATGTTGACACCTATTCGAGATCGAAATAATTCCTGACTTACCTGAATGCGCGTTCAACATTAGTGTTTTTAATACACTCGTGTTCTGGCTTTTCTAAAAGATACTCGCTCGCTGGATTCGGTGCCGACCGGTTGTGCCCTCGCGATCTTCGACGTCAGCGCAGCTCTTGGCAACTGGGCTGGCTTACGTCATCTCCTGACGCCGAACTCAAACGACAGCGTAGCTCTGACCTACTAGACTTGCCCTACGCCATCTCCTGACGCCGACAAGAGCTCTCGCAAGTGGTGCCCTGTCCTCGGACTCCTGTGACCGTGTTTCCATCTCTCCGATCCCTTATATGTCCTGACTCGCTGCCCCAGCGCATCTCTCTCTATATATATACTTTTAACCCTATCCTTTTATTCCATCCTCACTTCCATCCCTGTGAGCTACTGTTGAGGTGTCGCGCCCTGATGCAGACAGTTACGGGTCTCACTTTTCTCTTCTTTTCCCTCTTATAACCACTTCTTTCTTCCAAAAGATACGTCACGGTACGAACAAGGCTAAACTTGCTGCCGAGCCACCAGAGAAAAGGGAAGAACGTCTAGCAAGGAGGCGTCGCCAGGAGGCTGAGCGACTTACTCGACCATCTTAACAACAGCAACAACAAGACGGCGTCGATGGTTCACGCTGCGTATATATGTTAGCATAGCCAAGCTAACCCACTGCTATTTCTTTTACAAATTTATTCGTTTTTCTCATTCCGCACACGACGTTTAACATGTGCCTCGATCATTATAAGGAGGCCCCCTGTCAGTTCTCGAAACTATGGCACATTCAATGTACAGTCAGTTCACAAAAATATGATACATTCAACATACAGTAAATATCGCATGGCATGCGAAAGGTGCTGGGATCGATACCCCGAACCTCCACCAAAGATATATTACGGGGAAGATTTATTCGGTGACAGCGGGTCTAGCTGATGCCGTGCAAAGCACGCCGTTCTGCAAGCGAACAGGTAGCTCGAGAGTTGAGCCCACAACAACAGAAATTTCCGGAGCCCTCCACTACGGCGTCTCTCATAATCATATAGTGGTTTTGGGACGTTAAACCCCACATATCAATCAAAGCCCACAACAACAACGTTCTCGCGTTTCTCCTATATGTGCCATTTCAGCGCTATTACTGGAGTGACAGTTCCACACGCGTGTCATTATCATTAACGATGTTACACCGTATGCACGCAAACTGAATAAAATTGACTTGACAAGATTCAGTACTTCGCCCATGCGGCAGAAACTGACTTTTCTCTTCTACGATGCCTACAAGGTGCTTCTTACCCAATGACCTGCTCGTCGAACAGCCACGTCTCCCGGAAGTCCCGGCGTATCACCGTATCAGGAGAGACCTCGCCGTCCACTTCGTCGATCTCGTCCACGGTGAACTCGACGGCCGACTTGCTCCGGTCGGGCTCGTCCGGGGCGTTGGCCGTCTGCCCATCCTCCCTACTCGCTGAACGAACGTAAGAACAATCCAATAGTGAACATTTGGTTGTTATTATCAGCACCTGTCTTATCAAGGAACATAAGACAAAATTCCAAGAAGCGCCAATGAAACGTGTGCAGTGATAAACTGGCACATCTAGAAAAACGGAGCATCATGCTTGGATCTGCAAGAGCGACATCTGCATTCTTCAATACCGGCCCGTCTGGACATGCGCGGCACCAGCGACGCGCCTGCCTTGCATTTTTTTTATCCTTGTTTATATGGGCTGATGCGACCACCGCGTTGCCATGGGAAACACTCTTAACGGTATAGAATAGAAAAACAAAAGTCACAAAATAAAAAAAAACCACATAGTTTACGATGTTTGACGCGATATCACTAAGCTTATGTTCGTAGTTACGTAAAAGACACGGACCCAGGCGATTACTTTTTTGTTGTTGTTTCTGTTGTTGTTCGGCGCTACACAGATAACAACCCTTTTGACGCCCAAAGCAGTTGCCACGGCCTCCGCAACAAAGAAGGATAGATCCTGCAAGGCAGACACAAAATTTGCGCCACGCATACTCACCTTTGGTACGTTTTGAACTATACAGAGGTCACTCGCACGGTTCCTAGCGTGACACTCCGTCGTTCTATGTATGTTTGTGAACCACTGTTCGGTAATACGGCACGAGCGATGGCAACAGGATAAGGTAGTTTGTAATATCTGCGAAAAGCAGCGAGATTAGCGACAATCTGCGTCACGCCGGCTTTCTAAGGACTGATAAGGCGTTCAGGCCGTGTGCACCACAGCTTAACAGGCGATGCTTGCGCTCGATTGTACTTTCCGCGTATCAGAGCCAATCTAACATAAATGAATAGAAAAAATATCCCAAAGTAATTTTTGAAAAACAGATTATTTGCTTACAGAATACTTAATAGAAAAACCTAATGAATGTGGCATGTCAGCGCGAGCAATGCACCGAGTAGGTTCTCGGGACGGAGCAGTTCGAAATGTATCGGCGGTGTTTTTCGCTGAATTCATACTGAAATGAAGGCAGCGCTCAATAACGGGACGAAAAATGAGGAGACAAACAAGCACAGACAAACGAGCTCCGTTTGCATCCTGTTAGCTCGCGCATTCACCATCTTTCATCTCCCCCATCCCTCTCCCATGCGCAGGGTAGCAAGCCAGCTGGCTATAGGCTGGTTAACCGCTGTGTCGTTCTTTTCCTCCTATTTTCCTTCCTTCCTTTCAGTGCGAATCTTTAACTAAGCCGGCTTTCAGCCCTTCTTTAATTCCAGTGTTTAGGGTGCGTACGCGCATGAGTGGGCGTGCAAGCGTTCACTTCACTTCCCAAGTGTTTTTTCTTTGTTTTTACGCGGTACATTTCCAGAATATGCCATTCGCATCGGACTCACGTGAGCCTTCGGGCAGGCTGGTGGCGTTCAGGCAGCACTCCTCGAAGGCCTTGGCGCACCTTTCGCCCTTCGTGCCTTCCACGTAGTGACGCACGATGTGAGCCCGCGTGGTGCATCGACGTCCCACCCTGTCCCGCTTCTGGCCCAGCGCACAACACTCCTTCAGCAACGGATCGTGGTCGAATTTGCGCTCTGCGTGGGAGGAAAGGAAGGCAAAATATTGCAGTCATGGAAGGCACGTGGTGTGCTTGATGAAGCTCACACCTAACAAGGCGAACCTGACCAGCAGTTACTTTACCTCGGCGCCTCTTTTGTCTAGCATACTTCGTCGTCAATCACTCAATCCTGACTCTCGCAGAAATTCGAGATGAATGTGAAGCCTTTGATAATATCTCTGGTCTTGCGACCCGACACCATGATGTAATTATAAGAGACGCCGTAGAGGACACCTCCGGAAATTTCGACCACCTATAGTGATCTTTAACGTGCGCTGACATCACCCACTACACGGGCCTCTACTATAGCGTCTCCATTGCAATTTCACCGCGGCGGCAGGCATCAAACCCGCAACCTTCTGGTGAGCAGCGGAACACCATAACCACTACACCACGGCGTACAACGTGAAGCGTTCCACGTTTATCTGGACATGTGTGCTATCAGTCTGTCCTTTCATTAGGGTACATTTAATCTGGACATGCAGAAAGCAAGTATTTAAACGAAATTATGGTTTGAAATAAACGAACATGTGTTCGCACTTCACCTTATATATAGTTTTGGTGTTCTGGTCGGAAACTTGTGAAATTACAATTGCAGTTTCAATACACTCTGATGAGGTAATGTACTACTACAAAATACGCAGAAACTAAAAAGAAGCTGACTACGAAGTGTTCTGTACATTACTATATTACGACCACCTATAGGAGGTTAAAATATGCATTAGGCTGCAATTGTCATCATGTTATATGAAGCTTTTAAGATAAACCTTCAGAGGGTGGATACTTGCATTCCCACTATCCTCAGCCTCAATATAGGCGCGGTAGGACCCCCCCTGATGCACCCTTGATTATTGGCACTGGTCTGGGGCTTGCTTCGAGGCGACCACGTAACTTTCGCAAACATGTTATGACAAGGCTTACTCACGTGCTCTCTGATGAACGCTCCTGCGGTGTCGAACCCTTGCCTCGCAGCTTCCCTCTGAAATTGTCACCAAAGAAAAAAAAACAAAGAGAGACTCATTGCCTGCTCATATTTTATATCGTCCTTAAAGCAGATCCTGCTCGGATGTAGCTGAATCTGTTTAGTATGCCAGAAAATCACTGCTTTTTTTTTCATGTTTAGATCGTTTCAGATGAACGACTATTAGGGTAAAAAATGGCAGTTCGTGCATTGTCACTAGGACCACAGCAGCGCCCTTTCACAAAATCAAGGTTATACCAACTTGTCTAAATTCGCGGCGCTCAAACAGACGGAACGTATAGAGGAAGAAATACAGCACAAATGCTTTATTTTAGATGGGAAGCGTCTTGTGGCCGAGCTGAATCCGGTGTGCGGCGTAACCACCCTTCCAGCGCATGCGCTCTCCTCCTCTCTACTACACTCTCCCCTCTCTCGCCTCGCAACGCCAACGCAGGCAGCGTCTGCTAGCCGACGCTCGCTCCCCCTTCTCTCCTCTAGGCATCTCTTCCCGCGGCGTTTCACACACATTGCACATACGCTTCCCCTATTGCAACGTGCGCATTAACTAAAAGCGGACTGCGGGTCGCTGTGTCCGATCGGAATCCTCAGTCTCGCATTGCCTATTAGCAAAGATTGGCATGTTCCAGTAGAAGAAAAAAACATGGTCCATCACTGCGTGCTTTGGCTCCCCAGGGTATCCCTTTTCAGCAACACGTCGATGAGCGAATGTGTCAAGGAAGCCGCCAGTGTAAGCGTTACCACCAGCTGCTTCGCATCTACACATGGTACGCTTCAGTGGGTGAGGTTGAAATTTTTTTCGTTATATTGTGTTCCCTTTAGCGCCTTAAATTTTAACCAAATGTATTATCAAATAGCCCAACTATATCATTATTGCTTCAGTGCATGAACACATGCTACCTATGCAAACGAGCAGGAGCTGTAATAATTGTTTGTGATTGGCATCGGTTTCCAAGTTTAGCTGAAACAAGCGAAAACGAAGGGATACCTGTTCTGAGGACGTTCTCGGTTCCTTCCTCGGATATAATGACAACACCGAAGTTAGACATGACTTCCTCAGAAGACAGCCCTCCTCCGGGCCCGCACCCAAGCTCGTGTGACTTTAGAGTAGTGAACAGCTGCGATAAATCCAGGCATGTGAAAATCGTTACATACCAAAATTCAATACACCTCAAACGCATCTACGAAAAACACATTCCGTGCGCTGGCTGAAGCTTCTGCCGACGAGAATTCGTCGACATAAAAAAACACATATCCTGAAAACGTACACATTAACGAACTTTTTCTTTTGCCATAAAATCTGGATTTCCTTGAGAAACGCCGACGAGATGTTTCGAATAGCTGCAAACTACGAGACCACACCTTCGCCATCCAGCAGGCCTGAGAAACAGTGTAAACACAATGTCTTACCATACCGCGGTGGCCTTGGGTATGCCGGAAATTAGCAGCTTTTCGAATAAGTTTTATCTGTACCACCACAAGTACCATCTGAGTTCCGGTGGAAAATCCAGCTTCCGATTTGTACTCGCCCACCACGGGCAAAAACACGCTGCACGCCAGCAACATCTGCATTTTAAAGCCCGACGACAAAACGGGGGTTTACAGTTGAAAATACCGCATTCTCTATTTCTGTTTCTGAAAGTTGGAGGATGACCTGCCACAAATGAATGCACGTGATCACCGTCATCAGCCTGTTTTACGTTCATCGCTGGACGGAGGCCTCTGCCAATATTTACAATCTGCCTTCTCCCGCGCGAGCTACGGCACCCTTGGAAGCCGGGCTCAGACAGCTTCCAGAGTTGCCATAGCTACCAGGGACAGTAAAAATATACGTATGGAATGAAGTGCGTTGCATTTTGGCCTGTAGGTGCGTCTCATTCTCCTCAACCGGAACAGAAACCGCATTCCCTGGAGCAGTATCAGGTCACCCCTCTCGAATGGATGCCTTTTACTACATCCTGAGTGCGCGTAAGAATTGAGTAGATGCGGTAAATGTTTCACCTTCTCCCGCGTGAGCAGACCCTTGTTGTTGAGGATGTACACGGCTTTGTCCACTCCAAGAATGCCCACTCGTGTTCCGTTTTTTCCCAGAATTTTCAGAGAACCGTTGTTTCCCGGCTCGTCGTTTGCGAAGTTGGGCTCGATGCTTATCTGCACACAGGGAAGCAGGATGCTGCTATAAATATTACATTGTTTTTTTTTACACGCCATGAATTCCGATATAGTTATGAAGCGCAATGCAGCGGTTTAACCAGCATTGATATTCCGCAGTACACGGACATCTACAAGGCTCTCAGCGGTAAACTTTACACTTTTTGTGCATATATACATTAGACGGTTTGAAAGTCACAAGCGTTGTACCCAATAAAAACTTCAGGTCACCTCATTTACCAGCTCATAACGTCGAAACTGAAAGCACGTTTTCAATGTCTTTGCAAACGTAAGGAAACTCTCTCTTTCGTTTTTGACGTAAAAGAAACGTGCATAATGTACAAGGGAATGTTTTATCATTTTTATGTAGCTCAAAATAACATATTTTTAATATATTTTGCCAAATAAGAGAAGAAAACTGTAGAAAATCGGAGGGCTATATTCTAAAGCTCTTGTGATCCACCAATGCTATTAAAGCGCATCGCTGGACAAAACCGGAAGTCAACAAGGGGCTGTGTTTCTCAACCTTGACAGGGTCCAAACAAGCGGACGTACAGCCATTGGGAAGCTTAAAGGGCCAGTGAACGGCTCCGACTTTTTTTTTTTACACCCTCCGAACAAGCTCGCGCATCTTTCGGACGCCTGACATTGACTTCATTACTGTTTGTTGAGACCTGGTTTAGACCAATCGACGAGCTGCGTCACGTCACCGATCGCCGAGATGACGTCACTGCGCGTAGAAAGCGGTTGGTCACGGGTAGGAAAAATGCGCAAGCTTTTCCTGCGCGTATCGGAGCCTGTTGACTGGCCCAACAACATCTAAGACATGTCACCTGGACTAGAACAACTTACGCAAGCCACGAATCGGTGGGCGTTGTTATCGAGACGGTGCCTCGGTATGCTTGGATGCACGCATGGTTAACATCTCGGCAACGCAACTCAAAGCTACGCAGGGCTAGCGTTAAACAAGCCGCTTCAGTTCAGAGCGCGCTACAGAGCGTTCGTGTTAAGCTTTCTGGCGACAGTAGAAACGCACGCATGGAAATTCGATTGATTGATTGATTGATTGATTGATTGATTGATTGATTGATTGATATATGAGGTTTAACGTCCCAAAACACCATATGATTATGAAAGACGCCGTAATAGAGGGCTCCGGAAATTTAGACCACCTGGGGCACGCATGAAAATAAAATGCGGGTGAACCACTCTTGCTCTTTAAAAAATTCTAGCCACGCATCTTCTTCTACCCGTCATGTTAACTTTGCAATACGAAGTGAACCATCAAAAGACACCATATTTGCAACACTAACCGCTATTCTGCAATGAATTACGTATTATTTTAGATTACAGGGAAAAGTATTACGTACAAAACATTAATACCTAACCAGTACTACATTAGTGAACTTCGCAGACACTTGATGGCGTGGTATTTTCTTTCTTTTTTTCTATTTAAACCTTACGTTCTGCTGTATCTACGTGGAAGCTTGTGGATAACGTACCGAATTCGCTCCCTAACGTGGAGCACCGTTCGTGCCTACATCTGTGCTCAGTAACAATGCTTCAGTTCCGCAACATGAAAAAGCATGCTAACTTATCGCGGATTGTTCTTTAACGGATGGTTACATAGTCAATGTATGCCAGAAGCTTCATTCATGTTGACGCGCTTTATTTTTCTTTTTTTTATCTTTCTCATCTGCCGCAATGTGTTAAGTTAGAACTGTATCAATAAATAATGAATTAGCAAATTCGTGATCCTGTATATGACGAGACATATGCGATCTCCTCCTCTGAGAAAGTTCGACTAACGTCCAAGTTAACGACATTCCTATAAGTTAACGCCGTCCACTCATAGATGGCTTTTAACCACGCAACAGCTACAGCAACAACAGCAAACTTGATAAACAACGGCATAGACAAGATGAATACAGGAGAACTTTCTGTCCTGTCCTCGCTTCAAACATATTCGCTCATAAACGCCTACAATTGAGAGCAAGTGCACAAGATAGGCCGCACTGGCATACAAACACATTGGATAGCAGATTCGGAACTTTTGACCATTGCTGTACTATCGTAATAGGTGGAGCACACACACACACACACAAGCACACACACACACACACACACACACACACACACACACACACACACACACACACACACACACACACACACACACACACACACACACACACACACAGGACTACGCTTAGTGTTCAGTCCGTAGCCACGTTTATTAGGGCTGTAGTGAACGAGTGTGCTGCTTCTCTTACGGTGGATGACTCGGTGCAAACTTCCTCGACTTGTACGGTGAGCGAGTCGGCGAGCAGGTGGCCCCGGTGGAAGGCGTATACCAGCACACGAATCCTGGGGCTCATGTCTCGAGTCACGGCGAAGTGCACGGATCGATTGGACAACGAGCCGCCGACTTGCAGGACGCCGTGCTGCTTGGTCTGGCCACGGTGCGTCACCTGCGAATTTCGCGCATGAGGAGTTCGCACCGAGACGACTTGCCGCGAATCGCGCGTGTTCCGGCACAGCGCGTTCACAATAAACTCGACGCCCAAGTAGAGAGTGGGTCGTATATAGTCACCAACCGTGAAAAAAACGGCGACCGCAGTTCGGCACAAAACGCAACGTGTTGTTAACAGAGACCGCAAAAGAAAGTATTGACTTGCGCGAACAGGCACTGGTCGAGTGAGATATTCCGAGGCCCCAGTATAAGCTTTCACTTCAAGGGATACCATTACTCGCATTTATCAATCCGGTTGTCCTAAACTAAACTAGTTAACATTCCTGCCTTTCTTCCTCTACCATCTCTTCTTTTTGTGTTTAGAAAAAATGTTTATCGATTTCGAGTACTTCGTACTGAACTATAGGAGAGCACTGAGCCGTCCCGCTAAAAGCTGGCCGTGCTGGCCTCAGATATGTTTTAGCAACATTTGTAAAGTTACATAGTCGAAGAGGAGAATGGGTGACTGCATAGAGTGCGACCGGGGGGAAATGTTCAAAACGATCGTGCAGTGATGGAACACTCGTGTAACTAGCGACGTTATGATGACGTCATTCCGCTACAAGAAAATTACTGCAGTGTAGAATAAACATTTGAAACGTGGTCGATAAAGAAAACCTAGCACACGTCTATTTGTACGCACCAGATAAAAGATCGGTGAGATGTCAGCCGGCTCAGTTATTACGTGAATGTCGAAGTACTCGCCAACCTGCGTAGAAAAAAGAAATGGCGCCAGGTGGTCAAGCATCTGGACTAAGACAGAATTTTGTTGTACTGATATATGTCTAACGAAATGGTAAAAACGACAGGTAACCGACAAAATATGAACGTTAACATGCAATTATAAATTTAAAAAATTAACAGCAAACGAACAGTGACCACACCTTGAAGGATTTTCGTGTGTCCATCCGATTCAGTGCCACGAAGGCGTCCACGGGAGAATTGAACGCCTGGACGGCGATGTTTCCTTCCGACTGCTGGTGAGGCTTGTACTGCAAGTCTCGTGTTTGGACCTGTAGAAATGCCGTGGAAAAATCTTTGCAAATAAGATAGATATATGACGATGGTCTTGATTATCCCGCAGATACGCGCACACACACACACGCACACACCTAGACGCTTAATAGTTACTCCCAATGTTTTGTTAACGTGTGTAGCCCTACAAAACACCGATAGATCTTTTGTATTACGCATCACAGAGGCACTAGTTTGCCTAGGGCAGAGCAGGCATCCGGAAAACTAGTGCCTCTGTGATGCCCAAAAGAAGCTCAAGCCGCATTGCAGAAAAAGCGATGCCTCCATAATCTGTCGCTCTGAGCCCATACTAGAACAACACGAGATGTTTTATTGCACCGCCACCACCGTCATTCACGTATATATATATATATATAATATATATATATATATATATATATATATATATATATATATATATATATATATATATATATATATATATATATATATATATATATATATATATATATATATATATATATCGTTACGGTTAAAGTCTAAGGGTATTTATTAGCAGGGCGAGGTTGATGGTCGGGTAATAATGGCGTCGGTATCTGCACCAGTTCACACGTCTTTCTTCTCTTCTCCTCTCTCGGCTCATACCCGTTGCATTTCCCGACTCCCAGACATAGCCCGCTGGGCGAGTATGATTCACTCTCAATGTTTAGGGTGAAACCGTTGAAGGTGAGCGACATGTACCAGCTGGGTCCGGTTTGACCAACGGCCAGCTGATGTCAGCTGTGCTACCACGTATGTCGAATCGCTCAAGCGATCAACTATGACGAATGGGCCACTGTACTCGAGTAAAAACTTCCAAACTTCCCGCATAGGCCCCGTTTACGTTGTGGCGTCCACAACCACACCAAATCTCCATTGCAGTATGCGACAGACTGATAGAGGCTGTCATAGCTTTACTTCGATTGGTGTTGCGAAGCCAGAGTACGAAGACGAGCAGTAATATATATATATATATATATATATATATATATATATATATATATATATATATATATATATATATATATATATATATATATATATATATATATATATATATATATATATATGTGTGTGTGTGTGTGTGTGTGTGTGTGTGTGTGTGTGTGTGTGTGTGTGTGTGTGTGTGTGTGTGTGTGTGTGTGTGTGTTCGCCTCCTCTTTCTGCGGAACGAACAAGGGTGGGAGGGGGCGCATATGGTTGCCACTTGCTATCGCGGCAATGATCAGAGCGTGGCTTTTGCCGCCACAGCAGGCGGAAGCTTATACGGGCTGCGCTCTCAACACGAGAAAACGGTGCCAAACGTGTACCTGGAGCGGTCGTCATTTTTCAGTATTCCCAAATGTTGCGTGTGGTGCACTTAATAGAGAATGACTATTTAAACCCATACTTTGCAGCATATGTATATATGGTCAATGTCAAGCCTGAGCCCGTGTATGCATGTTTCATATTGCTGGCTTAATCTTTCGCAGACCAGCTCAGACTAGTAATACGAAAATATAGAAAAGAAAGTGAAAGTCAGGCAGAAGCCTCAAAGTGCGTGGGTTTATTAAATGTGATGTTTAGCTGCTGCTAATGCCTCATCAAAGCCCACTAATGTCTATGGATAAGATTACGCAAAAACTCTTCGGCACAGCACCCCCCCCCTCGTCCTCCGCTCTCAGGCTTCTAGGTGTGGTAATAAGTCCATGCATACCAAAACAATGCGACAGAAAACACCCCACTTTCTATGATGTCTCTTTTGAGCACCTGCACAGTATTTCCATAAATTCAGTCTTCCTCTGTAATAATGACTCCACTGCCGTTACCTTGGCCTTTATTGTCGAGTGGTGCCGTTCAGTTTGCACCAGGAAGGCCGCCCTTCCCAAGGCGTCTGTGACGGATATGGTTGGCTCAACGAGAACATCCAGTTCGTGGTCGTCCAAAACGGTGATGGCGCAGGGGATGCCAACAGCCGGCTTGCCGGCCAGGGTAGTCACGTCAGCCTACGGTAAGCGATTGAAGCGTGAGGCAGTGATACAGCCAAGGGCATGCAAGGGCATCATAACCTGGATGCCCATAGATTCCTATCGAAAAACAACGCTGTCGAAGTGCGCAAACTACAACGAAACGATGAGGAAGCGAAAGTGACGAATTCCCTGTTTTTCGCGCTACACAGTTAGTGGGCGCCTCATATCTACAGCATCATGAAATCAAATATTATTTTAAGACCGTCATTAGGATTAATTCCAGTCAGTTCTGTACCTGTGACATAAAGGTGAGTTTTCTGCCAACGTTGCGTCCGATCGAATACCACAACTAACCTGTCCGAACAAATGCCCAAAGTTTCGATGTATGAATGAAGAAATGTCATTTCTTATCAGGCAGAGAGGTGATCCAGAGCAAATGTGCTCTGGCTTTCTGCTCAGTATAGTGTCAAAGTGCGATGAAAGGTGTTGATGGGGATTGATGGATATGTGGGGTTTAACGTCCCAAAAACACCATATGATTATGAGAGACACCGTAGTGGAGGGCTCCGGAAATTTAGACAACCTGGGGTTCTTTAACGTGCACCCAAATCTGAGCACACGGGCCTACAGCATTTTCGCCTCCATCGAAAATGCAGCCGCCGCAGCCAGGATTCGATCGAGCGACCTGCAGGTCAGCAGCCGAGTACCTCAGCCACTAGACCACCGCGGCGGGGCGGTGTTGATGGGTAGCGGACGAAGTAGTGCCTATAACTGCGTAACACATCATTAATGAGAATTGACACAATTATGCCACGAAAAGTACGAGCTATGGTATTAGCAGTAACTATAATATTTATTTATTTATTTATTTATTTATTTATTTATTTATTTATTTATTTATTTGGTAATATTGTACACCCTCATAGAGGGTCATAACAGAGAGGACATACATAATGAATGCACAATGTTCATAAAGTTTCTTAATACCTTGACAACTCACAATGAAAACTGGTATTCTCTTAATTAACAGCTCAACATTCAAATAACAATTCAAGAACAATTGGAAATTCACAGTGATTTTTCAAAATAGTTGCTATGAACATGAAGTCGCTTACATCACTTGGCACTGAAAAAAACTTAATTTAGCAATCACGTAAATGCGCTTCTACAGCATTCTCGAAGTCAGTGACATCTTTTAAAACAACAATTTCGTTAGGCGGTTCGTTCCACATTTCTATGACATCTCGAAAAAAAAAAGAATATCGAAATGTGTCAGTATTTGTACGGTATGATTTTATGACGCAATCGAGGTTAGTCCGGGGATGTCATTTGCCTGAAGAACGCAAATATTTGAGCTCATCTATCTTCGGTAGAATAAATATTTGAGCTTATCTATCTTCATTAGAATTAATATTTGAGCTTATCTATCTTCTATCTACGTAAAGAAAGAAAAGTGGATGAAAAGACAACTTGACGCGGACAGGCACCGCAGCTGCGGTTATCGAATAAGCGGCTTGCGATGCTCTGCTCACTAAGCTACAGCGGCACTAACACTCGCAACTTTAAATACACATATATACCCCATAAAGTTGAAGACGGGATGACCATCGCTGTAGCATAGTTGGTAAAGCATCGGACGCGTTATTCGGAGGTAGCAGGTTCGTTGCCTGCCGCCGGAAAGTTATTTTTTTAGATGCGGAAGCATCTTATACTCGCGCCTTGTAGTGCGCCGTCCGCGCCGTCCGCGCCGTCCGCACCGCTTCTCGAACATTCGACAGCTGACGCGCGCGCATGCGCCGTCGCGCCGTCGCCCACTCTTCCACCATCTGTGCATCCCTTCCTCCTCTACACACCGCGCGTGCTTCACTCCTCCACCATCTGTGCACCCTTCCTTCTCTACATACCGCGTTCGACATCTACAATTCTCCTGATTCTCCAGTGGACGCGCATGTGGCGTCGCGCTTCGAGAACATTCAACAGCTGACAGTGCATGCGCCGTCGAGCTGTATATATACTCAAGGTCGGCGCTCGCTCGCTCAGTTGCCGCTCGTCGGTTGGTTTGTACGGCGCGTCGACGTCCAAGGTCGCGGTGAAATGAATTCCAACGAATCCACAAACACAATGATCGACGTCCCTTCGACCAGCGCCGCCCTTTCGCATACGTGTGTACGTGTTCACTCATTTAACACCCCCTCCTACAACCACGTTAACCAATTTAGCCATCGACCCAAGTAAGTCGCAATTTAACACCCCATTTCACAACCACGTTAACCAATTTAGCCATCGACCCAAGTAAGTCGCACTTTAACACCCCGTTAACCAATTATATGCTCCGCATCCTCCTCAGTGTTCCCCCGAGGGAAGCTGCGGGCAATTTTTTTTCTCCACTTTTATTTCTTCACATATGCATTACAATTACTGCCAATAACGTCGCCCGTAATTTTCGTGGCATCATTGTCGGTTAAATCACAATAATATTATGTACACCAATGGAAGAATGATCCCTTAAACTCGGACTTCTTTCCTTTGTGACATGGTGGTATCGCTACAGTCTGGAGTCGAGGGATTAGATCCATCACGGTGCTTTATTGCAAGGCTGCTGTCACGTCTGGCGCTATGGAGCATAGAAGTACTCTTAAATCTAACACGTTTTAATAACAATTGCGAAAATTAAGCGCGAATAATCTGAAGATAAAGACGACGAGAATACGGGAGTTTACGGCGCTCCATGTCTTAACACCAGACAGACTAAATTTATTTATTTATTTATTTATTTATTTATTTATTTATTTATTTATTTATTTATTTATTTATTTATTTATTTATTTTCTGATACTTTCCCATCAAGAAATCTTACTGGAATGGTTTAGAAGGGTCTATAGACATTGTAGTGAAAACATTCACATAAGTTGACAATAAGTAGAACGGGGGACTGAGAACATTAATAAGGAAAAATAACGTTAGAAACCTACTCTAATGAGAGGCGCAGCAATGACAGTGCATAATCGACTTATCTTGCATGGTTGCCCATGAATATAGTCCTACATGTCCTTAATTCTACAACAGGGTTCGGCAACCTGCGGCCCACGTGGCAGTATTAGGCGGCCCCAGGCATGACGTCACAACTCTTTTCCTTTCCACTCCCCCTTTGAAAATCGACGCGGTACTTTTGAATTCAAAAGCAGTTTTTTTCTTTGTAACATTTTAAGTTTGTAAGTTGCAAACGTTTTCCATGCACGCTGAAAATAGACATGATTTATCTTGCCAGTTCTTCACTATTGCTAATTACGATTCACCAATTCTTCTTTCTTTTGTACTATTAGATCCGCCCCATTGGCCGTGTGGGCCCCGCCGTGTCGCCTTCGTGCAACATGCCCCCTCCCCCTCCCCGCCTAAAAAAAAGTTGCCGACACCTCTTCCAGAGCTTTGCATGCATGAACGATCTACAAAAGTCGCGTAACATAGACCGATTGATTGATTGATGGATTGTTTGGTTGATTGATTGATTGGTTCATTGATTGATTGATTGATTGATCGATTGAATGATTGATTGATTGAATGATTGATTGATTGATATACGAGGTTTAACGTCCCAAAACCACCATACGATTATGAGAGACACCATAGTGGAGGGCTCCGGAGATTTCTACCACCTGGGGTTGCTTAACGTGCACCCAAATATGAGCACACGGGGCTACAACATTTCCGCCTCCATCGGAAATGCAGCCACCGCAGCCGGGATTCGATCCCGCTACGTGCGGGTCAACAGCCGAATACCTTAGCCACTAGACCACCGCGGTGGGGCATTAACATGGACCGAAGACATGCGCCCATCTGCAAGGTAATAAAAGTTTTGCGTACCACGATGACTGTCACGGTGCCCGGTTTGAAGTCCTTGGGCGTGTGACGAAAGCCGACCAGGTACGGCGACGTCGCGAACACGGCGGACTCGTCGACGGCCGTGACGCGCTTGCTTGTCGCCTTGTCGAGAACTTCGGCCTCCACGACGAGGCGGTTGCCTTGCACCAGGGCAGCCCAGCGTTTGCGTTGAGGCATCTTGAACTGGGAGGTCGCTATGCGGAACATCGCTTCGCCGTGAACGAGCTGCGTTCAGTTGAGGTCATACAAGTTAAGGATGGCAGTTAATATGACAACGGTGGTGTAAGACAACACGTTCGTAAGCTGTCGTAAAGGAATGCCTGATACAACTACGAAGATGAAGCAACTTTGAAGTTTTACTTTGTAGAACGAAGTACTGGACTATACAACTTAAATACAAAATACCCATATGGGTGCAGAGGAGGGTGGGGGTGGTTAAAGAAAAAGGAGGGGGCAGAGAGGATGTCCGCGAGTTGTAGCCGTTACCCTGTGCCATCAAAAATATTGTGAAAGGTACAACCGAGTCAAAACATAGGACAAAAACCACCTTTTTTACAACGCCCTGGCAAATGCGCCCTTGTCCTGGCGGAAAAGTCACGAAGCATCTCATCATCTCGGAGGCTTTGCTTTCACCGAATCGGGCTGTGCCAACCCCCAACAAAACCCTACTCAAGTGGTGAAGGGCAGCACAGAAAATTAAAGAAGCCTCTTTACAAATGGGAATGGATGGCTAGGATTTACAGTGATCTTATAATGTAATGTGCAGCATTGAAATTTATCGTCTAATGTACAAATCCTTTCTTCTGCGATAAGGAGAGAATATCGAATAGGTACGCGTTAGACACACGAAATGCCGAAACCAAGCCCACAAAGGACTGTGCTTTACTCCTGCGATCATTCCTTGCGACATGGACGGCCATTCACCTGTAATGACCAACAAAAGCACCGGCTTTTATTTCACACAGTTTCTAAATAAGGATTTATAAAAACATTTGATTCGGGTCACGTGCAACATTTAACCAAGTATAATCACTGTTTTCCGCAAGTGTGAAAACTGAATACCTACTTCTTTGAAATCGAAGTTTCCGAATGAAGGCTAATTAAGGAAGTCATCGCTATGAACGATTGCCACGAACTCTTTCTCAACCAAGAACTTAAGATAAAAAAAAACACCAGCGTTTCCACTTCATTTCATTGTCCACAAGAACAAGTAATATAATGCTGCAGAAAGCTAAAAACATTTTGGAAATTCTACATATTATTACACTTCCCTTACCTGTTTGAAATCAGTCGAGCCGAGTTCTCTGTCTGTGCCACCTTCGTTTCTTATCTTGAAACGGAAATTTGCCGAACCTTCAACTGGCTTTCCGTAGACGTATCTTTGACAAAAAAAGGTAAGAAAAAATCTGGCCTGAAACAGACTTCTCAAAATTCACTATAGGAATCAGTGACCTTGTGGTAAAAACTAACATAACCTCTCGATATCTGAGCACGTGGTGCAAAATTTAACACAGGGAAAGAGAGCGCTCGTCCTCGTCCCTTTTCTTGTCCTGTGGCAAGCTTTGCGCTACGTGATCAATCATGCATTAGTAACGTGTGCAACTTTAAACTCTTGTTAACTCTCGATATCGATCATTTTATCTAAGTAACAAGGTGAAAGGATTGCATGAAAAAAATTATTATATAGGCTCAGCATCGTTATCTAGAATGGGCTGTTCAGAAGCTCACTTCTACATCATCATCAGCCTGACTACGTCCACTGCAGGACAAAGGCCTCTGCCATGTTCCGCTAGTCAACTCGGTCCTGTGCTTGCTGCTGCCAATTCACACCAGCAAACTTCTTAATCTCATCTGCCCACCTAACCTCCCGCCTCCCCCTAACCTACTTGCCTTCTCTAGCAATCTAATTAGTTACCCTTAATGACCAGCGGTTATCCTGTCTACGTGCTACATGCCCGGCCCAAGCCCGTTTCCTCTTCTTTATGTTAACTATGATATCCTTAACCCTGTTTGTTCCCTAATCCGCTCTGCTCTCTTCTTCACTTCCACGTTCTAAGAAAAAAAAGAGTAAGATTTACTCTTCTCGGGGACTCCTAGCATGCAATGTATATGAATGACTCTCTTTAAAGAGACGCGTTAGCTCTCTTTTGACCAACGACTCTCCGAAGAGAGTATGATGATCGCGAAGGAGTGTCACTTGTCTCTTCAAAGATAGCCATTTACGATTTAAGTTAGGACTCTAACAAAAAAAATCAAAGGTGTCTCTTTTTTCTTGTGATGTAATGCTAGATATGCGTACCTAATTTGCGCGCTCATTAAACACATTTATGACGTAACTTCCGAGTTTGTATAGTATCGGCACTCACTTGGCCTCAACCTTGCCTTCCACGAATTCTTGTTCTGTGAGAATGACGCTTGGAGTGGTAAGCGTGACCGAGAAGGTGGGCAACACTGGAACCACGAAAGTAAGGACAAAAAGTCATTCGACGTAACGCGACTAACGCATAAAATGAGACTCAGTGAGGTTCCACCATAGACTCGCGGACACTGCGAAAGAAGTCCGAAAGAAGAAACGAACGTACCATATTCTTGTACTTCAAAAGTTATCTCGGTTTGTTGCGTGAACTGAAAAGAGATAAGAAAAATTCTTAAGTTTTTAAGCGCCACTCTCAACTTTGTTGTTGAAGCCGACGAAGGTTTCTAAGAGGAAGTTCAAATGCCTTCACTGGCGTTTTCAACATTCGTGCTAACAATAAAGAACAACACTACAACGTCGACGGTTATTCACAGGCTCACGTGAATAATAGCGTAGCCAGAATTATTTCTCGTCTGTGGGGGTGGGGAGGGGAGATTTCAGTTATACTTTATCTGTGTGTGCGTTTATATGCGTGCATGTACGCAAGCAAAATTGAAAATTTTACAGAAAGGGGGTTAGCGCCTCACCCCATGACTTGGGTGAACCCGGTTCGCTACCCTACGCAGGAGGATTATGAAAGAGGAGGGAAAGAATAGTTAAGGAAATAAAGGTGAAGTAAGTTTTAAATAAAACTCTGGAACAAAGCCAAAATATCTGGAACAACGCTATTATTTTTCGCTTTTCGTTTTGTGTTTCCTTTTGCTCTCTCTTTCTTTCGTGTTCCTTGTTTAGCATTATATAAGGTAACTCGGACAACCTAAGCCTTTAAACATTTACACTTATTACCAACTATGACTATTATTAAGAGTTTCACAAAGTTCACTAAATAATGTGCATGGACATCCCGTGAAATATGCTGCTTTGAATAAAAGAAAGGTTCAGCCGTCTTTTTTTTTTTTTTTACCTTAGAGCTCCTTCGTTACCGCAACAAGTCGTGCACAATTTTAAGTCGAAAGCGAAAGGAAATATATCACTACCGGAAGCCGCGATTCGATGGCACGACAAGGTAACTCGCGAGACTTCTAAAACAGTTAGGCAGCACCTCTACATTAGGCAACAGGGAAAAAAAGAAATACATCGCTCCCTCGTACGTATGATCCGTAAGTGACGACGGCCTTCCACTGGCCGAGTATCGGAGATTCCGGGAAAGCGTACGAATGGCTGAACATCCCCGTCGCCGAGGCGTTGTCCTTCGCGCTCAGCACCGTCTGGTACGTGACGATGTTCTGAGGGTTCTGCAGAAAAAGAAACAAGTTGCACGGGGTGTGAGTTGCAACTCGAAGGGCAATCGCTTCGTGTGTGTGTAGCGGCCAAAACAAAATCAGTTGACTACGGATATTGAATTGAGAGCAAAAGTGAATGCGGTCGTTTTCTTAAGCTAATTAGATGTTTAGCACACTCGAACGTTTCCTACGTGCTCAAGCAATCCTTCGCTAATGAGGGAGGTGAGCGGTTGAGTGTTAATAACAAATGAAACGATATCGAAAGTACTGTCGTAATGAAAAAAAAAACATTATGTGTTAAGTCTTGTTTCTTTTTTTAACCGTCTGTGTATTCATAAAACCCAAATAAGAAACTGCACTTCATCGAACTGGCTGCGCTAAGGTGAGGAGAAGGGTCCTCAAAACTTATGCAGTAAATGTTTTGTGAGCCGGTTTTCGAGAACCCCCATATACTTAGCGGGCTGATAGGTGAGGTCTATAAATTATGCACCAGGCTGAAATACCTGACAACGTAGTCCACACAAGATGTGGACTTTTTTTTTTACCCTTTTCTATCGGTGCTCTTTCAAAGCGGATAGAACAGAACTTTTATTGAATACTCAAAGCAAACCCAGTTCATACATACCTTTATCTCCAGCTTGAGTTCACCGATGGAGGGCACAAGGTCTTCTCCGACGGCTACCATTCGAAAATGAACTGCAAGAAAAAAAAACACTTTTTATTCGTACATTTGATAATTTTCTTACAGAAAACCAAGGCAATTAAGGCTATAGACGCGAGCATGCACCTGACAGAGTTCCTGGCACCTGTACATTGCTCGGCAAGCGATATAACAAAAAAAAACAGAAAAAAATACAGCTTATGTAGACATGACTAACTTGCACACGTCATTCGAGTTGGGGCATTTAAAGAATCGCACTTCAAAGAAGAATTGTTGTGGTTATAGTAGCGCGCGCTTCCACAATATCCGAAACATTTTATGCCAGACTGATCCCGCCAGATGCGACAGGTAAAATCACTGCCAACAACTGCACCAAGTCAGCTGTGATGATGCAGCGGTTGCGGTGCTACGCTGCTGACCCAAAGGTCGAAGGTTCGATCCCGGCTGTGGCGGTTGCATTTCGATGGCGGAGAAACGCAAGACACCCGTGTACTGCGCGATGGAAGTGCACGGTAAAGAACACCAGATGGTCGGAATTTCTGAAGTCCTCCACAGCACCATGCCCAGTGGTGTATAGCCAAGAGGGGATACACCAGGCCCATGACACCCCCCGCCCCCTCCCACACCTCCCGCCCCTTCGATTTCTTTTCCCTTCGCGACGGCGTAATGCGCACAAAATGACACTCGACCACATGTGCCGGCTCGGCCTTTGCCTCAGGTCATGAAGGTGATCGCTGGAGCACCAACTATGCAGGGCGCTAGTTTCATCGTGGCACGTCAGTGTTATTATTAGTACATTGCACGCTGGCTCCTTCATTTTTTTTGTGCACAGAAGCCCAATATACGTTCGAGCGACGTCATTATCACATTGAAGTAGGTTAATCGCCACGCAATTACACTGCCTTGACGTCATCTAAGTCACCATGATGGAAATGGGAAGTATTAGAAGTAGACAGCACAGAGCTTTTTCAGAAGTGAACCTTTAATAGTTAGAAAAAAATGCAGACAACAATACGCGCTATATACGTTGTATATACAGATTTGTCACTCAAGGCCATAGTGTAAGTGCCCTTAGGGCACAGCAGGCATATATAAGGCCGTCAAGCAACACTAATAATGCTTCTCACTGCGAAAAAGCAGTGCTGATGTTACCTCATGTTTCAAGAAACCGAAATCATTTCTCGTCATAAGCATAAGCTGTTTCACCAGATGGTAGAAATATATCACATTCGGAAGAGGAGACATCACTGTGTTCAGCCAATCCACAATTGTGCTCTATGAAAAGGAGTGCGTGTATCTTTACACGTAGTGCTTGTGCTGATAAATTCAAGTAACGCTAAAATTCTTTTAGTGATCCTGATAGAGGGCTTTTCTGTTGCGCCTTGCTCTGTTGCACACTTTCGAGGACTCGTGTATCTGCTTTATATATCTTTTTTCGCGATTAATAACACTTCAGGTATGACAGCAAGCGCTGTGCTGAGCATTTCTTCTTGTCAATGTTTCCCCGGACGCCTCAAACAAACTTTCAAAGCCGAACGTCAACCACCTCGCCCAACTCGCCATATTGCTGCCATACTGGAGCCGTTATGTCTATACGGCCTCGCGTGCAAGCAAACTGTAGGCCACTTCTCGTTTCCCTCACCGGTCTGCTTGGGCGTGTAGATGGGCTTGTCACTCTGCAGCAGGAGGTAGCCGCTCTTGTCGCTAATGAGTAGCCGCGCCTCCTTCTTGTACAGCGCGTAGCACTCCACCACCAGCGACACGTAGCGTCGCTGGCCAGAACGAATCTCGTCGGCGCTCAGCTTCTGTGGGTCGATCAGCATGCGCACCAGCCTTGACTCACCTGTGAAATAGATTTAGAATCAATGGAACATCACTCATTACAAACTTCTTGTACTCAATAATAATCGTTGGGCTTTAACGGCCCGAAACAACGATGTGATTATGAGAGACGCCATACTGAAGAGGTCCGGAATCACCCACCTTTCTGGGGATCTTTAACGGGCATTTAAATCTAACCCCCGTATTCTAGAACCTCCCTTCACTCAACGCTTCGCCTTCACTTGAGAAAGCCGATGGGAGCGCCATCTCTAGGTACGGCAAGTCACTGCATATCAGCAATAGTCTGCTGCGATTCTTGAGTAGCGCAGCGTCATTTTCAGCCTAGTGGTGGCGCAGTGCTCAACTCTGTCAAGTAAAGGGTGAAAGTCGAGTCGAGTAGCGTTTTTGCATACGCGGGTAAGTACACGTGCCTTAAGCAATTCTGCGTCCATCAAAAATGCGGCCGCCGCGCCGGGACTGCATTCAATGACCTGTTGGTCAGCACACGAGCCCCATAATCGCTATAGCACCACGGCGCGTCAGATACTCGGCATCGCGAAATGTTGCGAGACGTGTATCATTACGTATCATAGATATCAGTTCGTTCTGTGAAATTCGTTCGTTCTGTCACAATGCGAGCGCTCAATGCTCGCTTCTTTTGCTATAATGAAGAAAACACGTGAGCTCTGAAAACTAACACGTCATTATACAATTCAGCGCACATCAAAAAGCAGCACCCTCTAACGAAATCATTATAGGTGGCTAGTTAAAACTGCGCTTCCGATTTTTGTGAGTAGGAACGTAGTCACGTACGTGATCTTTATTATTTTTCGCGTGCTAATTCTTTATCGGCCGGATAAAAATGAGCACTTAATTGGCATGCCACTGAAAAATGGCGCAGTTTAATATCATTGAAGCATGCCTACATGTGCCTACATGTGACATTTTAATCATTTTAAGTGAGCGTTTGTCAAGTTAAAAACCTAATTAGAGCTAATAAGTATTCCTTGTAAACGAGAAAATAGTAGTGGCCACTGTAGTGCTGGGAACGATAAGTGCTATGTGTGCTTCGCGTAACGGAGTCCCCCTTTTTTATATCGCGCTGCGTGTTACCTGGGAACACCCTGTATATACTCGTCCAAATTGGAAAGTTCTCAGAGAAACAACCTTCCCCTCCCCTCGCCCCGCCCCACCCTGCACCTCTCTGATTACGTCTCTGCTTGGCAAAACTGAATGCTTGACGTCATTATGCTTTTTCCAAGTTGAATTCCTTCTAGCAATGTGAAACGTCATGCCACCAAAACTACACTGAGTGTTATAAGAGGTACACTTCGAAGATAACGCAGTTTGGCCACAAAGTGTGGCTACGGCAAAACACTCCAACTTTTATACAGGTATCATCATTTATTCTACCTCTGCGGAAGAGCTGTTTGCCGCCCGTGCATCCTGCATGACTACGTAACGAAATATAAATGCTATCTAAATGTCCTTAATATCCTAAACCTGGATCAAGGCGAACTGCTTTGACACTAGGACTTCCAACAAACTACGTCACCGTTGTGTACCATTCATCCTACTCGTACTATTGCGCCCAATGACCTGGGATTGGTGACGGCAGATTCGAGCGAAGCGAGCCATTATCTCTTAGCGTCCGTCTGCTATGACGTGTCCGCATGTTGTTTCCACGCCACCGCACTGCGTCTTTGACGAGAGTGCGTCACAAGATCTTCTCGTGACCCTTATGCTGGCGCCGTCTGAAATGTCGCCATACCGAAGAACTTCCTTTCAATAACAAGACCTCTCAAATTTTCGTGCCCATTCTGTTGCAGTGGGGCCCGCTTCACGCTCAACGAAAAAAACACTTGCGACGTGGCACAAGCAACTCTGTCCAACACATTTGAACTTCCGAAGCCAAGTTCAAGCAAGGCAAAAAGTCGTAACCTGAGCTGGCTCAGCCATAGGTTTTCCTACAAGTATTACTAGCGATCGTTGAGCCACCATTAAAAAGATATATTGTGCGTGTATTTGCATAGTCATTGTATACTTGCAGCTTCGAATGCACTTTGGCTTTGTTTATTCTTGTGTTTCCGCATTTGTATTCGATAAATCAATGGCTTATTGGTAATCGTGAACTGATCGAAATTGGGAAGCCTAAAATGGCGAAGGCGGTGAAGTGTGGCTGCTGAAATGTTTGCTCAACTTTGCGTGGGACAAAACGGCGACATGCCTCGTTGAGCTGCACAGATACGAAAAAATGGAGCTCAGTCAACGCCGTTTGCTACCTATCGGTCCCATGCTGGCTGAGGCGTCGTCCGTTGCAGCTTGCCAAGGTGACCGTCCGATATCCCCCTCGTGTGTTATTATCTAATTACATGGGCTCATTCACCATGGTTTATCTTCACATTCTCGAGGACCATCGCAATTTTAGCTTGACACGATGACGTCACGGAGTTTGTTTTCTTTTCCGTAGAAATTGGCACTGAATGCGACGTCAGAGGCATGCAGTTTCAACAAAATATCTATGAAGTGGTATCGTATTACGAGGATTGCGCACTACCCCCGTCATTCGGATCGCCGAACCTGCTACGTCACAAAATCTTATCACGTGACTTCCGAAACTGCGTGCAACGCTCTCGGACAAGCGGAGTCGAACCATCGCGGAAGCTCTTCTAGTGGCTGCATCGCTCAGGCAACACGTGGTTCAGCGCGTGGAGCTTATCTCGAAATCGGCACTGGTTGGGGCATCGGGTTTCGCAGCTATCTCCTTCAGAGGCCGCCTGACTGTTGATAGGGCTCCTCTAGTGACCCACATGAACCTGTTCGAATTCTCATCTCAAAGCAGAACCTTTCCGCCTAAGAAAAAAAAATACATAGTTATTTAGAGTATGTGTTGTATTTCTGACGCTTCATAACCATGCAATACACTTAACATAAAAAAATGTGAAAAGAAGGGCTGTGTTGAGACGACGTTTCGATAAGCCGACTTGACTTCATCACGGCTTGAACAGAACACCCAACATATATTTTACGCAAGTTAATTTAAACCTAAAATAAAGTATATACACACCAATAGACTTTACTGATAGTTTGTAGTATCAATCACTCTCAAAAATATCGGAGTCCTTTTTTTTTTCTGAGTTCTGCATCGCCACGCATTCGGCTCTCTCTTCAAAAAGGTACGTTAACTCTCTTTGGAAAATAACTTTCACTCTCCATAAAGAATACTGGCTCTCAACAGACGGCAAACGTGTCTCTTTAAGGGGTTTTCTATGCATCACACACGACAAATCTCAATACGAACAGCAGAGACATCTTGAAGACTACCACTTTGTACCAATAGAAACCAATATAAATCATTTCCGGAGTTTCACGTCCGAGAACCACAACATGATCACGCAGGACGCCATAGTGGAGGGTTCCAGAAATTTATGTCATCTGAAGTTCTTCAACGCGCACTGGCGTCACACAGAAGACGGGCCTCTACAGCTGCGTATTCATTCAAATGCGCCCACCACACACGGAATCGAGCCCGCGACCTTCGGGTTCTCAGCCGTGCACTTTGACCCCAGATCCACTACGGTGGGCCACTGCTAACATGCATGGCTTAAGACACGTATAAATAATGTTAGTAAAAAGCGGTCGCGAAGAGGGGAGTAGAGTGGGAGAATAAGAAGGAGCGTATGCAGTTGGGAAGCTAATTAATTCAGTCATATATGGGCTTTCGGCAGCAAATGTCGTCGCAGCAAACTGGCTCTTCCCGCCGAAGTTCTAGACAACCACGCCCCACTGCGGTGGTCTAGCGGCTAAGGTACTCGGCTACTGACCCGCAGGTCGGCAGATCCAATCCCGGCTGCGGCGTCTGCATTTCCGATGGAGGCGGAAATTCCAGCTGGTCGAAATTTCCGGAGCCCTCCACTACGTCGTCTCTCATAATTATATGGTGGTTTTGGGACGTTAAACCCCACATATCAATCAATTTAGACAACCGCGGCTATTTTTTTCAATCAATCAATCAATCAATCAATCAATCTTTATTTTTGCATAGTATGGTTACATCGTTAAGGATATGCAGAAGAGGGTCCCAAGGTCAGAAGAACCGTACCGGGACCCTCTGTACATGATCATTAGGTAAGGATTACAAAATATGCACGAAAATGGAAAAAATAAAAGAAATATCAAGTCAACCTAAAGACAAGTGTACAATAGTTATACAGAAAGAATACTACGATAACGATAATCGGAGACATCGAACGCAGGTTGATGCGGTGTACCAGCACGCCATCTTACCTGTGCCGAGGCTGATGGTGTCTCGGAAGAGGGTGTGTATTCGCGCTGGGTGATCTTGTAGCGTTAACGTGACCTCCTTCGGTGGTCCTTGGTTGAAGACTACGGCAGTTTCCTCGGCTCCCAGCCGCACGACATTGGGTGCGGTGACAATACAACTGTGCCTGAAAAAAGCAACTAATTTTGGTAAGATATATTTGCAGATAATTTTGGTAAGATCATTTTGGTGCTTAAGGCTTATCGTGGTACTACGCTGACAAAGCAGTCTTGCCCACTTTATATCTGTTATTTTGTCAGTTCATACTCAAGAAGCATGTTTTCTTTTAGTCACATGGGTTGGGCATTTGGTCTAGTTGGTAACCCACGTGAAAAATCTCAAGCGTATAAGCAGCACAAACACAAAAAAAACGAGGAAAGACGTTGCCGAGTTTTTACGCATGATACTTCCCAGTGTTTGTAGCAATTTTTATACCTGCATCTTTGATCGCAGAGATGCAGGTATAAAAGAACTTATATCTACGGTTGCTAGATATAAATTCTTTCCCTTCTTAAGATCGACATGGTCAGACTGTCTTCCACACAACAGATTAAGAGTTCATTACAGCGAAATCACTAATCAGTCGCAATGAGTGGCCGTTGATGGCACAAACAAGAGTGATGCAAGCATATCATAATCCAATGATGACGTCATCACGTACACATGACATCGTTATCAAAAAAAGAGCGTCACATGGTCAAAATTGTGGGTCAGCCTCGGAGGCAATACGAAGCCACTGGAGGTACAAAAAGCTTCCGGTTTGTTAAACCACCGTTAAGTGATAAAAGCTTTCGGGCGGGATCAGTACAATCGACTGAGAGGGGGGGGGGAGGGAATGTAAGATGGCTTTGGTGGTACCGTCGCGTAAGGCAAATGCGTAAAGGACCATGCGACTTATGTGTACGACCTGTATGTCTCACGTAGTCTTAGCAGTCCTCCCGCATCGCTTCACGATGAGTCAGCTTTTAATGTCTGCGGACCGACGCCATAGCTTCACGCTCTATTTGCTCTCCGCAGGCCCGAAACGTCGACGGAGGTCCGAATGACCTCACCGGCGCGTTCTATTGCAACGCTTCTTTTGTGAGACGTCCCGGACATAAGCTCGCTCACGTATACTTCCTCGTACAAGCCTCTACACCGGCCCGATAGGTACAGTGAGCCCAATATTAATCCCTGATTGCCGGAGCACTGCAGTTGAGTGAAGATCTTAAGTTGCCCGTCATGAGGCGATTCGGCATTTGGGACACATGATGATGAAGCGCATGTGAAGACAGGTCGCAATCCCTGGAGCATGAGTCACACCCCAGGTGGGACACTACGAAACAGATTTCGAACGCATATTCGTGTACCTGTGACAACTTTGTGTAAATTTCAGTGCTGTTTCTCAATTGACCCTACGTGCAGAGTTAGTTCTCAGCATTTTTGGTGTCCATATGTGTCTTCATTTTACGTGAAATCTGGCGCATTGTGACTGGACTATATTTTGTGTCGTACGCTGGGCTACGTATCCAAAATTCGCAAATTCAATGACCTCGCCCGCCGTGGTCGTGTTCCGATATAGGTAAAATGCTGGAGGCCCATGTATGTATAGATTTAGGCATGCACGCGTAACCTACTCTAGGTGGACGAAATTTCGGCCGTCCACCACCATCTGCCTGCCTGTCTGTCTGTCTGTCTGTCTGTCTGTCTGTCTGTCTGTCTGTCTGTCTCTCTGTCTGTCTGTCTGTCTCTCTGTCTGTCTGTCTGTACCTGAATCTATCTATCTATCTATCTATCTATCTATCTATCTATCTATCTATCTATCTATCTATCTATCTATCTATCTATCTATCTATCTATCTATCTATCTATCTATCTATCTATCTATCTATCTATCTATCTATCTATCTATCTATCTATCTATCTATCTATCTATCTATCTATCTATCTATCTTATATTCACTTCGAAACACAGGTCGCGGGCTCAAATCCCGGCTGCGGTGGCTGCATTTCCGATGGAGGCGGAAATGTTGTAGGCCCATGTGCTCAGATTTGGGTGCACGTTAAAGAACTCCAGGTGGTCGAAATTTCCGGAGCCCTCCACTACGGCGTCTCTCATAATCATATGGTGGTTTTGGGACGTGAAACCCCACAAATCAATCAATTATCACTTCGAAACACCGCTAACAAATGGAGATGTTAGCGCTCCTGCTATTCATCGCCTACTCCCTCCCCGTGTATTACACTCATTTGCTTGTTTATTAACGCGAAATCGTTAAAGAGCTCACTTCGCGGAAATTCCAGTGTCGGCGTCGGTGTCATTGGTTGTGAGTGAAAAATCATCATCTTATGCATGACCAAAAAATCGGGAACGATGCAAATAAAATAAAGAATAAAAAATCCCGGGTCAGAATGGAAATCTAATCCTAGTCGTTTGCGTGTCAAACGGATATTCTAGCACGCAGTAGCGCTTCTGTTTGTGAATACAGTGAAAATACGTTTCTCTGCTAGGAAACGCAGTGAAAGTAAATTTCATGCTTTGCAAAGACACGGGTCCTTTAAACATGCATCGCGATACAACATGAACTGTAGCAGTAATAATGCGTGGTACAAGCGTACGTTGTCATCGGGCGTCAGAACATGCGATTATCACAATCACTTAATGCTTTAAAGCCAGTCGCCCACTACAAGAGGCACACACAGTACTGCGCCTATTTTTATAAGGACACTTAGTGGTTGCGTAGCAAGTTCGAAAATATTTCATGCACTAAGTGTTTGAAGTAAGCACTGGGGACAGAATATCTCTATCGCGTAAAACTCCTAAAGGCAAAGCTTAGGGGCCGCTAATTTATTTATTTATTTTTATTTTAAAATGACAAAACAACACGGAAAGATCGGCCAGATTAGAGCCGACTCCCATTAACATGATAGTAAAGTCGAAGAAGAGTACCATAAAAAGAAAAAAAGTCTCGCACGAATCAAAGAACGAGACACAAGAAAAGTGATCAGAAATATTTATTTGCTTCTTCTTTTTTTTCTCTTGTTTTTATTCCCTTCCTTTTACCTCCTTCCTAAATACCACATGGTTTGTTAGGACACGTGCTATAGTAAGCCCGCAAGCAGGCCGACAACCCAGAAACAAGAACCATCGAAGAAGGAAAAGGTACGGGATCTCGCGTCTGCCTGAACTCGCTGCACATTCTAGGGCACGAGTTGGCCGTAACCGGAGTAGATTGCGACCTAAGACACTCGCTGAGCCCGCGCGCAGAGGATTTTGCTTTCTCAAAGCCTTCCCTATACATGCTTTGAGGCGAACGGCCCTTTCGTGGCTTTTGGTCGAGTAATTTTATCGAATTATCTTGAACAGAAAAAGTGAAGCGTTACGGATACGTATTGTAAAATAAACGCTGCGCAAATGAGTGTGATTGATGATTGATATGTGGGGTTTAACGTCCCAAAACCACCATATGATTATGAGAGACGCCGTAGTGGAGGTCTCCGGAAATTTCGACCACCTGGGGTTCTTTAACGTGCGCCCACATCAGAGAACACGGGCCTACAACATTTCCGCCTCCATCGGAAATGCAGCCACCGCAGCCGGGATTCGATCGCGCGACCTGCGGGTCAGCAGCCGAGGCGCAAATGAGTGTGAAGTGCCCCGGCTGACAAATAGGGCCACTGACTGACTGCGCTATACACTTACCAAATATTAGGTATTTGTTCGTATGACGTATCCATCGTGTAATATCAACGTAATAGCGTAAATGGCCCGGATGTCCATGCACGAACAATTTACGCTGATTCTTCACGGAATCCACAAATAAACCGATGAGTTCTATGTGGTTGTTATTATTATTATTATTATTATTATTATTATTATTATTATTATTATTATTATTATTATTATTATTATTATTATTATTATTGACAAGGCGAAATGACATGTGATTTGAACTGTGGACACAGCTTAAAGAGAAGAGTGTATCCGTCAACTGTCAAAAACTTTTCCTTTCGTGATTCTATCTGCATTGATTTCTTGCTATTTTTTCATTATTATACTTCGTGTTATCGTCGACATCTCTTCTACGTAAGGCACTGAGAATTAAAATAGCCGAGGTGCCACAACATCTATACTGCAAAACACGTGTACAATAGAACGAATAGAGAAGAAAGCAAAAAGGAAATTCATCGCCACAAAAAAAGTGTCTCTGAACTTAATGAAGAAACAACGCACAAGCGCAAGCAGAACCACGGGAAAGTCTTAGACGAATGGTCGGCGTACGCACGACACAGAAAAACCATCGACAATGACCGGACCACGCGCAACGCTCACGATTCGCAGAAGGAGTCACTGGAGTCACGGCTGGCGATGATGGATTCGCACCTGAAAACGCGCAAACTCATGCACTTGTAGTAAACAGCTGCCCACTCAGCTTGTTATTCGGATGTCGCTGAAACGGTGCAGCGAATTCAAGTGATGTGGTTATAAAGAACGCATTACAAAAGCAAAGCAAGAATTTTCCGTGACACTTTTGGCAACGATGATGGATGTGCATGTTCCTGCGATATTTTAAACTTACAAATGGCTGGCTGTCATTAAGTGACTTGCTCCACACCAACCTTCTCCTCTGTCTCTTTTGTTCTTACCTATAGTCCGCGAGAACTAATTTGGTACACATTTAACGAATTAAACCACCAGGTAGCGCTCGAACTAGGTTCCTTAAAGTTTAATAGTAATTATTATCATTTTTTAACATTTCTTTGCTCAATAAAGGCAAAAACGAGGTGGCGTAAGTGAAATGTTAAGCACGTGCTACATTGTTTTCTCCCCCTGCCATTTACCACTTTGAGAGGAGGATGGTAGAACCGAAAGAAAGACAGAAAGATAGGGGAATACCTAAGATTTCCTGAACACTTATGCCATCAGCATCCACGGTTGGCATTGCCTCAGCGCATATAGTGCGCACTCGCATTTCATATTACACGTAAGCGCAGCACGATTCCAAGCGTGATTTCACATCAACTCGCTCAGCTTTATATTCTAAGCTGCCATGCATGCATATATATCGTTCATTTTAAACATTTGAAGACAAAACCCTTATGAAAGAAGAAAGCCTGAGTCTAATTTGCGCTCACTTGTTAACAATG